ACATTCAGTAATATTTATTAAACAAATAAATGAATAAGGAAAAAATGAATATAGACATCAAAAAAGCAAACACTAAATCAAAAATTAAAAACCTGAATCCTAGCATTTTCAATATGCAACAGGCTGGGCAACAACAAAATGGATTTGCTTATTCTGTATCTGCAGACAAGCATGCGCTAACACGTTAGATTCTTCCCAAGACATCTGCCCAAGATCAAGACCTTTCAAAACACAGATCAAATGCCAAGTGCAAAGCTTCTGTTGTCAGAAAGTACCAAATCTTTATCCTTAAGCTCTACTAGCATGTGTATGTAATACTTGCTTTGTACTTCTGAAATACTATATCATCTACTGTCCCTTCAAGTTTAACAACTCTTCTGTATACTTCCAAAATTAGAACTATGCATTTCTCAAGGGCAATGTCCATGCCTCATAGTGCTCTGTAGCTACACAATACTTACTTAGTACAGTTTTTTATACGTAGCAGATTTTCAATATGTATTTTAATGCGATAACATACAATTCTAACAAAATTCACCAATCGCATACAAAAACCGATATAATTGTGGTTACACTAACACAAATGCCTCTGCTGTGTCTCATTACCTATACAACCATTGCAATTACCTTTGTAAAATCACTATGGACAGCTTCCAAGATTCAGTCAACCAAATACATCAATAGGGAAAATATTAAAATCGGTAAGAGGAAAAAATACAATAAGGAGTAGGTAAAGTATTTCTATGATTTTCTTAAGAGCCTATATCACTGCACCATATTTTATCCACAGGGAAATTTGAGTTATTTCTAATTCAAACAAATAAACTCGGCTGATTACAACCATTATAAAGGTAAAAATAAAGATGTTTATCAAGGAAAAAAAAACCCCAAAGACACTAGTGATGGGATCTCCTTTTTTTATTTGACAATCCAAAGTAACTGCAAAAAAACTACATTTATAGTAAAATCACTCTAAGTAGAGAGTAAAAGCATCCAAAGAAAGGTCCACGGAAATCTAAAAGTAACCATTTCCTTGAAGACAATGGCCTAAATCTGTGGGTCCTTTCTGAATATCAACAAAGTGAAATTTTCTCTTCTGTCTCTGCCACCAAACCTCTCTGTTTCTCTTCCTCTCTATCACTGAAAATGGGGCAGAGGAAGGTGGAGATACATGGGTCTAAAATGTTTGGGATCCAGAATTTGCAAAGCTGACTTTTGGCAGTGTACCATTACAGAATTTCTTTTGGCTTTTCCAGATAGCAATATGCAATATTCTTTAAAAATAATACTCTTAAATGGAAATTTTAAACAAAACGGTCACTAGAGAAAAACAACTCAGTCTGTGTCTATGCGCAAATTGACTTAACTGACAAATTCAGCTAGAATAAGAGGCTGATACCATACCAGAAATTCAATTCCCACAGAACAATAGATTACTTACTACCTTCATAACTGCTGAATCCCAGGAAAGTAACTCTATTTGTCAGTGTATGTACAGAATATTTCAGTGTCTCTATGAAAATGATATTGACATATGGAAGAATCAGTCTGATAATGAAAAACAGTGCCAGGTATTAATTTAAAAATAAGCTTCCTTTGGCAGAATACATCAATTTTTTCACACTTAAAACATAAAATGTATTTTTTATACAGTATGAAATGTGATCTAGCAATACCAACTGTAGCAGCTATTGTAGCAGTAATAAAAGCAAGTAATACCTATTGAGTTCTTAACATGAATTATATAAAAGCAACTAACATTATATAAAAGAAACTAACATCCACTGAAGTCTTAGCTCAAATTACTTTCACAATAATCCTGAAAAAGAGATATTAACCTCATTTTAAAGTTGAAGAAACAGATGTATAACTTGCCCAGAATCACAGTTAAAAAGTAACAGAACTTGGGTAGTAAAATTCTTAAAACACTAAAGTATATATTTACTGATGATATTCAGGGGTTCCCAAATCAGCAAACAGTAATCAATCAAGTAATCAATCAGCCTTTGTGTCAAGTAAGCTTCCCAAAGGTGAAAAATGGTATAGGAGAACCAGTTAAAAGATGTTTCTACACAATACAATACTATTTCACACACACTAGCATGGCTATAATAAAAAAGAAATAATACGAGTATTGGCAAGGACATGGAGAAATGTATAGAGGAGACACAAGCAAATTCATGTATCATTAAGTTGGTAATAGTGCACAATACTAAAAAAGACCATCAAGCAGAAGGTGACATTCTTTAGAAGATATATAGTTAACACACATTGCTTTTAATGAATTAATGAACAAGTATACTCCATATACCTGAAAATGTACCAATTTAAAATGAATGCATGCACACACAGAGACTAAAGCTTTTAGGGATGGGTGAGTGGATGGATGGAGAGAGGGAGAGAGAAAAAGAAAGGGATGAAATAAAAACAGCTAACTTCGTCTATCCAGACAGTTTGACTACATACGTAAATTCACTACAATACTCTCATCAGAAAAATATTAGTATCCCCTTTTTAAAAAACAAGAAAATTTAGGTACGAGAAAGTTAAGTTAGTTGGCCATGGTCATTTGCAAGTGACTAGTGGCACTGGGATTTGAATGTGGTTCTAAAGTCTATAGTTTTTACCAAATTTCTAGACCAGAAGTAGTAGATTAGAGTAAAAGAGAGTTTAACAGTTTCCTCAATGGTCATTCTTTACAGGAGTGATTGTAAACCAGAGGTGGAAGGTTCTATTGGCATGTCTAATAGGTAGAGGCCGGGGATGCTGTTAAATATCCTATAATGCACAGGACAGCCCTATAACAAATAATCATCTGGCCCCAAATATCACTAGTACTGTGGTTGAGAAATCCTGCTTTAGAACAGTGTATTACTGCATTTGAAAATCCATTACAATAAAAGAAGAAAGTAACATTTCCCAATTTAGCCTGATTAAAAAAGTCATTACCACCATTATCCTCCAGACCTGTTTATTTCAGGCAAGGGAAATGTTATACTGCAAAGCTTAGAAGAAACACAGGAATAGCAAATTACTATTACATGGGAGATTAACCAGGAAATATCACTGAAAATGTGGAAGAGGGGAAAATTCCCAAACTCCAACAACTACATAGTTGTTAGCAGAAGAGAGATTACAACAGGAAATGATAAAACTGCTGACTTAAATGTCAACATTACCTCCTCCTAGAGCATGTGAATATATGTCATGAGTAATGACTATGTGGCATACTTCTAGAACAATTAAGTTTTCTTTTTTTTTGTTTTTCAGATCATTATATTTTCTGTATCTACCAATGTTTCTTTAGTCAGTAATCCATTAGGAACATCTTAGAGTTTAATAAAATTTTGTTACCGCATTATTTAAAACTTTCTTGGTACCCTTAGAATGACTTGAAATCATTACTGTCCAATAAATTTTCCAATACTTTGTCTTACAAACAAAAATTAGATATGACCTTCCTATCATAAAGCTATTTCTTCACAACCTTTAAATATGAAATTTTAATGTTTGAGACATAAAATTAAATATTGAAGCAAATAGTATTCTCATAAAAATGTAAACAAATATGTTTAGATAATTAGATCACTTTCTATACTTCTTAACCTGTACCATTTCTAGTTTACCCTCAACAATCTCAGTACTCTATAGAGATAGAACTCTAACATGCTTTGTTAACTTTAATATTTTTTCCCATTGATTTATTCAAGAAATGTTAACAGTGTTGACTATTGTGGAAGACAAGATTCTTTAACATTTCCATTTTAACGGCCTAAAAAATTCTCAAGCCACTGGTTTTCCACCAAGAGAAAGGGAAACAGCAATAAATTAAAATAAAGGTAGCTTGAATTTGGTTTTGAAAAATAAATAAGATGCTACTCAATTTCACAGTGAGTAAATATGTTGGTTTTATGTAAGTTCACCTGAGAAGCAACATCACCTGGCAGTTAAAAGAGCAAGCCCTGGCTTCGAGCTGCTCATTTTCAAATTTGCCCTATGACATGCCACATGCCATACTCTAGGCAAGCTACTTAACATTTTTAAGCTATTTCTTTTCTCTACAAAAAGAGAACAATCATGCCTACGCCTTGGGACTGAGTTACAAATTAAATGAGATATAAATGCAAAAGCACTTAGTAAAATATAAAACATGTAATAAGTGCTCAGTAATATTAACTACTATTATGGTCTGAGGACAAAATAATTACCTATGTTCATAATCCAAATTACCATACTTGAATAAGACAAAAATTTTTAAAGGGCTTCTAAAGCTAAGATTTATTTTACTAATTTATCACTAGAATGCATATGCTCTAAAAAGTCCCTAAGATATAAAGATCTAATATATTATCATTATTCTTCTTACACAGTGTCATCTTAAGTCCTACTTTTATGCCTTTAAAATTAAAATTACTCCCAAGAAAGGCAGATAAAAGACAGGGATAAAAACAAAAACAGATATTCTTCCCTGAATTTCTAAATCAAAGCATTTCATATTTGCTTTATGGAAATGAGAATTTTAACAATGTCTGCCAAGTATAATATAATGACTTCATCTATATATGGAGAAAAAAGACAAGTTGCAAGCTTCTTTATACATAATGCAAAATAGATAAAAAATTATGTAACATACTTAATTACCAGGAGGATAATATATGAAGTGCTACTGACATTGAAATATTATATATTTAATGTATCTACATAAAAAGAGGACCTAAAGTAAATCTAATAAAATCTGATTATTTAAAATATAGAAATGCAGAGAAAAATGAAATAAATTGGTAAAATGAATATGACCATTAAACTGCAGTGCCCACCACTCCCATTCACATATTTTTAGATCTAGACTAATACTTGCTGCATCATTATCTACCATAACAAAATTAGAGTACATACACATTAAACGACACTGCCAACAACACATAGCAATACCAAATTGCCAAACAGTGCTAATATTTTGATGCTTTAAAGAAACAAATTTTAAGGAAACATTTCCTCACCTATTATCAGAAGGCAGAAGAGAAAGCAAAGCCAAAGCTGAAAGTTTTCTTCTTTCAGGCTGGGTAATATTGTCCATGCGATCAACCCACATTTCAATCATATTTCCCAAAAGCTGGTCCATCTGAAAAAAAAAGACCAAGAGGCATCTCATAATAGTTGAAATGCTATGTACTTATGGATAAGTACTGCTAAAGGCTAAAATCTCATAAGGTGGTTAAAGATCAATTCCAGCAAACCACAGAATTGGAATACAAGAATTTGGAGCAAGCTTTGAGCTGGAAAAAAATAATTTGAGCAAACCAGAAATCGACTCTAATTAATCTTGAGAGCCAATTAATTCTGAAAACAAAGCAAACTTGTTCGACTCAACTAGGTCGAACAACTGGACACGACACTGAGGTGTTCAGTTGTTTGATCAAATACTAGTCTAGATGTTGCTATACAAGTCTTTTGTGGATGTGATTAACATTTACAATGAGTTGACTGTAAGTAAAGGAGATTACCCTAGATAATGTGGGTTGGACTTCATTTAATCAATTCAAAGTCTTAAGAGCAAAAACTATTTCACAGAAAAGAAGAAATCTTGCCTCAAGTCTATCCATCAGTAGATGATTAGATAAAGAAGATGTGGTACATACAAACAATGGAATATTACTCAGCCATAAAAAAGAATGAAATCTTGCCATTTGCAATAATACAGATGAACCTAGAGTATTATTTTAAGTGAAAAGTTGGACAAATACCATACAATGTCACTTATATGTGGAATCTAAAAAACAAAACAAACAAAATAAAACAAAAAAAAAATGCACTGATACAGAGAACTGCTAGTTGTCAGAGAGGAGAAGGGTGGAGACTTGGGCAGGAAAGGAAAGGGGACTGATTAAAAAGTACAAACTTCCAGTTATAAAATAAGTCACAGGAATGTAATGTACAGCACAGAAAATAGAGCCATTAACATTATAATAACTGTATGGTGACAGATGTTTATTAGACTTACTGTGATCACTTTATAAGATATATACGTGGTGAATCACTATGTTGTACACCTGGAACTAATATAAACACAGAAATCCTGCCTGAGTTTTTAGCCTGCCATACAAAATTAGAACTTGCCAGTCCCTACAATCATGTGAGGCAATTCCTTAAACTCCCCTGTGCTTGCATGCACCTGTGTACACACACATATTCTCTTTCATTATCCACACACACAGTTTCACCTTCATTCTTTCTGTTTTGACATACACACTTGCACAATTGGTTCTATTTTTCTGGAGAACCCTTACTGATAGTTAAAATCTATAAAGCAAGACATGACCCAGTATACTGATCATGTAGATTGAAAGTGGATCTCAAGGTCTGCTTATAAACACTTGCCCATTTCTAGAACCTTTTATAAAATGCACCTAATATAAAAATATCTACCTCATTGATTTGGTAACATAAAATCAACCTTAAGTTCTCACACTTTTCTACTTTTGTGCTTCTACATTTTTTCCAAAAAACGCTTCCACAAGTTTTTTAAAATAATAAAGTCAAGAAAACACTTATTAGTTCAAAACAATCATTTATACTTGAGTTCTACAAACTGTGCTGCATCCTAAGATGCCACAGTGAACTCACGGAATATTTAAAATTGAGAGAAACAAAGAAATCTGTCTGATACTGCCAAGAACTACTAGCTCAAGACATTCTCAGTTTTAACATTATATTTCTTTCAATGACTTCTTATCTTTGCAAAGTACTACAACAAAATCAAATAGAATAGAAAATGACAGTAGAGGTGTCTAATCTGATTCCAGGGTTTGAGAATTTGGGGTAGTACCCAATAGATATATGTATTCCCTTAGTCGATAATTGTGGTTATTTTATTTAAAAATGAAATAAAAATATTACTCTTAACTTTTAGATTTTGTGTGTTTATTTCAATAGCTATTAAGTTATTAGGACATAAATACATATGAAGTTGTTTGGACCTAACTGCTTAATAAAAGGAACTATGTTTCTTTTGGCCTAGGAACACTTTGAAAATATTACTAACACATTAAGGGCACCATGAACAAAGACAGTTTGGTAATTTCTGATTTATATCATGGTGTCTTCAATTCATATTTAATTGGAAATAAATGGTACAAATGCTCTACAGATTTACTGCAATTAATATCTAGTAAGCAAGATTTAAAAAACAGATTATAACCATTATAAAAGCAAATATTGAGTTATCTTTAAAATGTAATTATACAACTGAAGCTACGGTAATATATCTGGTTGAAATGAAGAGGCAATCAGTAAAGATAGATATCTCTATAGTCTAATTTTACAATTATTTCCTTTATTATAAAAATATTTAACAGCACATAACAGTGAATTTGTGGGGACTTTAATTAAACAAACAATTAGAATATGAGGGGTCAGCAACCTTTTCCTATAAAGGGCCAGAGAGTAAATATTTAAGGCTTTGTGTGTTATCTGGTCTTAGTTGCAACTATTCAACTCCCAAAATCTGTCATAAACAATATGTAAACAATGGGCACGGATGTGTTTCAATATAAAATTTCATATAACTTTCACATGTCATAAAATGTTACTATTATTTATTTTTTCAAACATTAAAAAATTTTAAAAACTGTTCTTAACTCATAGACTTTACAAAACAAGTAGCGGGCTGGGTCTGACCCATTGGTCATAGTCTGCTGACCCTGGGAATATATAAGCAGGGCCAGAGCTAGGATGGAACAAACATCCCTGATAAATGTATAGTTTCCAGTTATACAAACATCTGAAAAAGATCTAACTGAAGCTTAGAGAATTGGGGCAAAATTACCCAGAGTTGTTTAAGGTAGAATCAAAAAAGATTAGGAATCAACTAAAGCAAAGTGAGAGGTTGAGAAGGAGTGTTCTAGGTAAAAGGAAAAGCCTGTATGCAAGGACTCTGAAACAGGAGGGAGAAAGGTCTTTCCACGAAATCGAAAAATGTTCTGAGCAGTGAATGGCTGGATCATGGAGTGCTAAACGGAGGCTAAGAGATAAAGCGAAAGGATAAAGAACCAGATTATGGTAGGCCTTTGCAGGCAAAACTACATTAGAGAGTTTGGATTTATTCCTAAATCTAAAAGAAAGACACTGAAGAGATCTGAAACAAGGAAATGATAAAATCATATGTATATATTAGAAAACTCAACTTGGTTGCTTTGAAGTAAAGTCGATAAGGTAGCAAAAATAGATATACATAAGGAATAGTATTCAGCCTTAAAAAAAGAAGGAAACTCTGACATATTGTTCTTAACATGGCTGCAACTTCAATACATTATGCTAAGTGATATAAGTAGTCACAAAAAAATAAATACTTTATGATTCCACTTATCTCAGGTACTTAGAGTAGTCAAAATCAGACAGAAAGCAGAATGGCAGTTACCAGGGGCTGGGGGAAGGGGAGAATGGGAGTTATTATTTAATGGATAGAGAGGTTCAAGTTTTACAAGAGTGAATTATGAAGATGAATGGTGGTGATGATTGTATAACATTATGAATACATTTAATACCATTGTTTTGTACACTGAAAATGGTTAAGAGGGTAAATTTTGTTATGTGTATTTTATCACACTAAAAAAAATTGGAAAAACTTTTGATATAGTTGACAGCTTTTCTTTCTCTTCCTACAGCATGTTAGACATATCTCTATCATAGTACTTACAATAGTAATATAATATATAATATTAATAATATAATTGAAATTGCCTGTTTAAGTACTCCCTCCTTTAAAAGAGTACTATAAGCACATCAAAGCGAGTGTTTCCAGTGTCTAGTGGAGAAGTGCCTGTTCTAGAATAAATAGGAGGCGGCTGAATGTGGTCTGGATACCAACTCCATCATTCACTAACTGTGCAAACTTGAGCAAGTCACTAAAGCTCTCTAAGCCACAGATTTCTCATGTGTGAGACAGAAATAAAAATAATTTCATTGCGTTGTTGTGAGGATTTAAAGTAACACATGAAATGTATGTTATTGTTAAATGTATTGTTATTAAAATCATTCAACAAATTTTACCAAACTCAACTGAATAAACTCTTAACTGTTTAACATTATCCCATCACAGTTAAATTTAATAAAGCTAAAAAAAGATTTCTCCTATCCATCAAAACAAAGGCTAGGATCTCTCATTAGATTAGTTTAATTCTAGAAAAACTACATGCATTCTAAAATTTGTACTTTGTTACTCTGGATTTCCTTGAGGCCGAAATAGTTATATTTATTTCAGCACACAAACTAAAAGATTTAACAAAATGCCTCCATTCTAGAGATATCAGTGAGGTACGTTCCTCCTTCCATATTTAATAAATCTTAACAGACCAATGACTTAAAACATAAAAACCATTATTTTAATATAATGTATATAGTCCCAAGTAACCAACTCACTAAAGAACCTATTCCATACTTATTCTGGTGACTGGTTTTAGTTACAGTGTTTTTATAATAAGCCTTTGGGGAAAAAAGTCATTTCCTACAATCGTGATAATGGAAACTCACTGCATAGCATTAAGAAAAAGTTAAAGAGATGAAACACAAACAAGATATAATAATATGTAAAAATCCCAGTTTCATTTTATGTATGCTTATGGCTAAGCAGAATAAAACTGAATATTTTGAGAGAGAAAAGAATATAAGTTTCAACTGCCATTCATATTCTTTTTTCTATCTTCTCCCAAATTATAGGTACAACGTAAGTTATTAAAGATTTAAAATATAAAAGTTTAAATACTGTAAGACTTTTATAATATCATTATTTCACCAAATTATTACCAATCTTTATCTGGATAAAGACCTCCTTCAATTTAAGTAAACAGATTCTTACCTCCTGATTAAATTTATGTGCCATCTCAGTAAGAAGTGAAGAAAAGAAACTAGTGTTTTGCAGCAGGACTCGACCCATAACTCCAAGATATGTTGACATCACTACAGGATACCTCTATACAATTAAAATACAGCACAAGGAAAACTATGTTAAGGTACAAGTATAAACAATTATAAACAATCACTGAAAGAGTAACAATCAACAGGGATATGAAATAGCAATATTCTCTTTCACATTGCTTCTATAATATAGACCAGAGAAAAAATATTTACCAATAGCATATTTATATATTTATATTATTTTAAATGCTCCTAACATACATAGTTACATGGGTCTACTAGAACAAAACTGGTGTTTTCACATATTCAGTATGTAACAAAATCAGCACTATTTTTTTTCCCATTCCTCTGCTTCAAATCTTTGTGAATGAATATATATGCTTATGAATGAAAGAGATGATATAGCAAAGGAAATATATACTTTCCTATGAAGACCACTAAAAATACAAAGCTGTGTGACTACCTGAAATTAACTTAATTTGAAATAATCAAATACTCTTTAAAGCTTTCCTTTCATATCTAACAATGAAGAACATATAATTTTCCAATGAAGAAGTAAAAAAAATTAAAACTAGAACCCTATAGTCCAATGCTGTCCTTAGAAACTTAAGAAAAATCTTACCTCCCCTTCTATAATACCTCTGAAAACACAGGGTAGAATTGGTTGAAACATTTGTGCGCCTAATACTGGGTTTACTTTAAGGGCATTTTCCACAACCTAAAAACCAGAACAACACATTGGCAATACTTAATAATGTAAGTCATTGCTTCATGCATAACAAAGGTAAGAAAACAATGTATTAAATAACACACACCAAATCTGAGATACAAATGAGTACATGAGGTATTATTCCAGATTCTTGGCCTAGACACACTTTTATAAGATAATCCATTAAAAACTTCAATTTGATACAAAGTATATAACGTTTAGACATAGCTATACACCTTACACAGAACTATAATTAATCATATTCTGATAACAAAGGTATCATGTTGTTAATGTAATTCTTATGTTTGCATTTTAAACAACACAAAATATTGCACTAATAGAGACAGCAAAAGATATTTCAGAAGTATTGGTTTTTAATAGTGAAAAGGAAAGTTAGTAACAGGAACTAATTTTACATAAAATAAATCTACATTTACACTTATTAATAAAGTGGATGGAAAAGGGTACGTTGCATATATACTGCATATTTATTAAATGTGAAATAATCTCATTTCCTTTTTAGTATAATCACATAGATTATTAACCATGAGTACTGACTGTTACAGGTGAAAATGAAATAAATTATTTTTATATGATTAAGATGGATTCCTTCTATAGCAGTCCCCAACCTTTTTGGCACCAGGGACCAGTGCTCCTATGAGAATTTAATGCCTGATGTTTTGAGGTGGAGCTGAGGCGGTGATGCTAGCACTGGGGAGCAGCAGCAAATATAGACAGAGCTTTGCTCACTTGCCCGCTGCTCACCTCCTGCTGTGCAGCCGGGTTCCTAACAGGCCATAGACCTGTACCGGTTCATGACCCGGGGACTGGGGACCCCTGTTCTATAACAAAGATAGAAAGTATAAAATTAAAAGTGGGGTGTGGTTTTCTATCTGTTTATTTTTTTAAATTTATTTATTTATTTATTTATTTTTAGAGTGAGGAAGGCAATGGTCAGAAAGCAACAATGAGGGCCAAGAAGGATCTTCCATGCTTCCAGCCCCACTGGAAACAGAAATCATTTGACAGAGTTCTAGGCAACTACCAGTCTCCAGGCAGAGCCAGGTTTCCCTTAAAATTTCAAGCGATGTTTCTCAAGATTGACTGTTGGCATTCTAAATGGGGCAAGTGTTTATAATGCAGGACTATTCCATGCATTGAGGGGCTATTGGCATCTCCAGTCTCTGCTTATTATGTATCAATAGCATGCTCCAAACACGATGACAATCAAATATACCTCCATGCATTTCAAAACATTCTGAAAAAATAGTTCCCAGGAATGAACATTTTGAGCAAGAAGTAAAGAGAATGTCCGGTTACAAATATAAACACTGTGTGCCAAACACTGTTTCCATTAAAAGATACAAAATAAAAGATATAGTTCCCGATTAAAAGCAATAGGAGATGAGATGTAGAACATAATTAAATCTGACTTCAATAAGGTTTATTTTGTTTTAAAAAGTTGAATTTGGAATAGAGATGGGAAAAGTATTTGGATAAAGGTAGGGATGTAAATAAGCTAGTAGACTAAGAGGGCCTCAGAAGCCGATATTACCATACAGTCTCTATTTTATCTATGAAAGGAAAGGATGGCCATCCACTGAGTATCAGACACAAATTTAACTTCACTCCCTCCTGAAAACTCCGCTAAAATTAGAGTAAAAGGATTTTATAGGAAAGAGGACATAATTTGAAAAGGACAAAGGAAATAAGAGATGAATATAGAGAACTACAAAAAACAAATTCAGAGGGTAACTGACTTATCAGATCAGAGAAAGCTGAAATCTAAGGCTGCAATGGAGAAAGCTGAGGACCAACTCGATTTCAGATCATGTATCTTCTCCTTACCTCCCACCACCAGAAAACATAGACGTTAGCAGAACCATACACCTCTGGAAAAGAGGTAAAGGAAAACCTAAAAATAAGACTGGTTGAAAGTCTATTTAAGAAACAGACTGCCAAATAATTCCAAATCTGCATATCTAGGCAACTGACCTTCCCCCATCCTAGAAGACAGTGTATTTTCTTTAAAATGTCTTTTAGACCAGTAGTGACCAGTAGTGCCCAGTACAATTAATTAAAATAAAACTACATCAAGGCACACAACTATAAAATTTCAGGACGCTAGCAACAAGAAAAAGAAGCTACAAGTTTGGGGAAAAGAGCAAGGAGGGGGAATCAACAAGGCTTTGGAAGAGACTTCTTTGAGAAAATTAAAGTAATAAAATACCTAATGGGTTAATATGTCTGAACATATTGAGCACAGACAACTGGCAGGGAATTTACTGCATATAAAAAATTACACCAAAGAAAATTACTAACTTCAAAGATTATAAAAGTTTGTGCAGAAAAGAAATAATCACATATTTAGGTCATTATGACTTTTAAAATATAAGTTCATTTAAAGGCATCATTCAATAGAAACCAGCCATCCTTATGCATTTTTCTTAATACGATCCAGAATATTTCAGAGCTAAAATGAAGTCTTTGTATTCAAAAAGGTTAGGAATCATAGCTAGGGGAGATAAAATTGTTTCTGAAAAATTATGTTAGGAAAATGTCACTATCAGACTTGTAAGCAGGGGTTGTGGAACAAACTCAAGAGAAATTTTAGGAAGCAAGGCTGATAAGAAATAGAAAACAAATTGAATAGGTGGTGAAGAAGTCTGGGATTACTCTTAGTTGGGCAATGGGTACAAATTATGGTGCCGTTAATAACAATGAGGTTTGGTTGTAGACATGTTGAACTTGAGATGTCTGTTGGAAATCCATATGGAATGATTCCACGTTTTTACACACATAACTCTATACAGCCCATTTTCCAAGGAAGATATTGCAGCTGTGACTTAAAAGCCAAAGAATTCAAATTATGACTATTTCCACAGTGAAGAAGTTTCTTCCATAATGACCCAAATCTTACCAAACATTTTGCTCAGCAGCATACTTTTCACTTCTAAATAAAAATTTGAAAAATGCATCTATGATTCAGCAGTAATAAACAATACTGTATATTTTAAGTGAAATGTATGTATACTCACATTGCCAAACAGCTCCAAGAAGGAAGTAACACTAAAGACAACTAAAGTAATAATAGGTAGTTAAAAGGTGATTTACAGAGGTTAACAGAATTTAAATCATGACTTATTCTTCGGGGGGAGGGGATCATTATGTTCTCATGGGTTTTAGTATGTTTTACGTGTTTTAATTCATTTAATTTGGTTTTGTTTTGATGCTCAAACTATCCCATCATTAGGCAGTGGAAGTTAATTCCTTCATCCTTTTGACAGAATCCCACCTTCTCTTCCTTGTAGCAAATGAGAACTCCCCAGATTATTTTGTGTATCCCTTGCCTGAGCTCTGGAGTCACCCAGCAGGACACAATATTTACAGAGCACAGTCTAGATCTGGGGTGCCTGCTGCCACTAGATTGACACTGTTTCTCGGTCTTTGCTAGACAGCTTAGGAAATTTCTCTTCTTAAAAAGCATATGCAATAAATTCACCAAATCCAATTTAAGATTATATTTTATATAACTTCTTTGATTTTATATTTCCATCTTTCTTCTCTTATACTGTAAGATGTCAGATTCGTAGAACCTCATTTGCTTCTAATTACTACACATTCGAATGCCCACATATATGGGTTTCAAAATAACGAAACCAATATTACTAATAATGACAACACTACTGAATGCAATTTATAATTTTCTTGTGTTTATTTTTGTTCTGTTATATCCCACCAGAGATATACATGTAAAATACTGTGTATTAAAATTACTTGAAATATTATGATTTTATGCAACCAATATAATAATAACTAGATTTAAATGTTTCAGCTTGTTTTTTTTTTACTTTCAGGAACTGCTTTTACTTTACTTTAAATCATATAGAACATGTGCATTGCTCCAAAAGCAAAAGTACAAAACTGATATAAATCCTGAAATAAACAGCTTCCATCCTCTCTCCCGCTTCCCTCTACATAACCACTTTTATTATTTTGATTTATTTTTCCATTGCTATCTTATGTTGTACTCTTTAAATATAAAAAACTCTAGACACTGTTCTTGCTTACAGTCTCAAAATGATGCTAAAACTATGTAGAAATTGTTTTCATCCCTTTTTAAAGTTACATAGTACTCCTCTGTGTGGCTGAATAATCATCCAACCACATGTTAGTATTTTTTATCAGCATTTTGCTATTACAAAATGAACTTCTGCACTTTAGTTTTAATCCAACTCTTTTCTGAATATTCCTGGAGCAGACTCTGTTTTTAACATCTCTGTCAAAAATGCAGGCTTTTAGTTTGTGCCATGCACCTGAGACAGTTTTATTGATTTAGGCTTACACTGCATTACTAAGTGATTAAGAGCATGGATTCTGAAGTCAGAATACCTACATTTATATCACAGCTCCAATACTTACTAGCTGTGTGACCCTGAACAAGGTATTTATGGCTTTGAGATTTGATTTCGCATCTGTAAAAACTGGGAAAAGGATAATACTATCGTCATAGCTTTATGTGAGGATTACATGAACTCTATGTTACATGCTTAGAAATGTGCAGCATATAGTAAATGCTAGTATTAGCTGTTATTATTACAGAATAAATTACACTTCAAAAATATTTGTACCATCTTCAATGAACCTTATCACAGAGAATGAAAGCAACCCGGCTCATTATTGCTTGATAAGATCATGATAAAAAAAGAATATTTCTAACTCAAAGTTGAAAGTATACATATAAACAAATTTCGAATTAAAAAATTTTCACAATTTAAATATGAGTATTTTTAGAATATAATTGTATTCATCTAGATAACTTGTTCTGAGTCACAGAATACAATAAAGCCTATTTTTGCTCTTAACCATTTGTTCCTAAAGCAGGCATACTTGCCTCTCCAATTTTCATAACATTGTAATTTTCTGCTTCAAAGCACAAAGAAGTTATTTCCATATACTGTCAGAAATTAGTATAACAGTGACATTTAGTCAAAAGTATATTAAAAATGTTATATAGCATACTATATTAAGAAACAGTATCTGAGAGGTATTAAAAATGAAAATAATGAGCTAATATTTAAACTATTATTATAGTTTTACTGGAACTCTGAGAATAGGAAAATGCCAAAAATTTTTAGAGTTCCCTCAGCTTTCAAGTACAAGCATAAAAGCACCATTTACGTTGTCCTAAAATATTTCTTTATATAAAAAACACAAATTTATTCATAATTATATTCCTAATATTTAACATCTATTTAATAAATAAAATGCAGTTTTCAGATTTCAAATCAAATATACAGGTTTGACTATACAATATTTACATAAAAATACAGTCTTAAACACGTTATTATATTGCCAAATTTTATTTTCAAATCAAATATACAGGTTTGACTATACAATATATACAATATTATACAATATTAAAAATACAGTCTTAAACACGTTATTATATATTCAAGTATTTATATCCTATTAATGATGGCCTATTAGCATATTTACATAGAAATTGATTTAATCTGTAACATGTTAAATGTTACAAGTATTTTAATATATATTTGGATAACTGATTTGTGCTGAGTCATTTAATCAAAAAATATTAGGTACGACTGAGGAACAAATAATGACATTACTCTGTTTCACTTCAAAAGAAAAAGAAGCAAATCAAGTTTTTTTTTCCTAGCAAAATTATAAGAGTAATGTACATTATGTAAATTTGGAATTTTTCATAATAAAAATTTTTAAAGATTGTGTTATTCTGAAAAACAAGAAATAATTAAGTACAAATAAATTTTAAAAAGCCAGCTGAGATATATAGTTTTTGATAAAGAGTAAACCTCTATCATTGTGGAAATTTCCTAGTTTTAAAAATTTAATGTACTCTTTATTTTAAATAAACATTTATTTAGAAGAAATGGTCAAAGGAATAGGTAATTTGGTTTGTTTTGTTTTCCTTACAGCCAAAGATCTTAGCAACCAAATAAATTATTTGATCTGCAAGTATAGTAGCTTGCTTTACCCCAAAGGAAGATTATATAATTAGGTAAGAATATAATTATATTATAGAATTAAATTAAAATAGCCAACACTTATATTAGCTGATTACATATGAGGCATTACATACATATAAACTCATGTAATCCTCACCTCGACCTAGGTAGTAAAGTTTTCATTTCCATTTTACAGATGGAAATTAAGGAATAGAAATTAACTTGCTCACCTCAACAGAGCTGTGAAGTAGCAAATCCAATATTCTAACCATGGAAACTTTGCTTCGGTCCACAGTGTTACCTGCTATGTTATATATATACTGCCTCTATCTTGCAGGAATATAATTTTTTTTAAATATTAAGAAGTAAATATTCTCCTTAGGATATATCCTAAAATTCAGCTCATTTTTCGAATGAATTTCATAATGCCCATATATATGACTCAAAACAAGCTGTCTTTCAACAATTATTGTACTAATAATTTTACTAAGAAAAGCAAAAGAAAATAAAACACTTTAAACTCAATTTTTTTCTGCGAGTTGTTTAAACATAAAAAACATCCTCTTTCCTTAATCACTTAGAATATACAGATAATTTAACAGAGGATTCAAATAATACATAGTTATATATTATTAAAACTCACATAGTACAACCTGTTATATAATAAATGAGAGAATTTAAGCCCAGAATATACTTAAGAACTGTATAAGTAGCAGAGCTGGGTGTGCAAACCAAGCATAGGTCAAGAAGAGAGTAACATTCCAAATGCACTGTTAGTATGTTTCAGCAGGCATTTCTACTGGATATAGTGATAATCATTGTACAATCCATAACACAAGAATTATGCATTCCCTGGCTTCCAAATCACTTACGTTGTATGTATTCAGAAAAAAGAGAACACAATTTATTAAACTTTGGATCAGAGAAAAGCTTACAGTCTAGTAGAGGAGAAAGATAAAACAACATACACAGAAAAATCTATAAACACATTATAATGACATGACAATTTTCTCTCAAATTTTTCCCAGGTTGCAAATCAGTTTTTCCTCAAATAGTTAAAATTAAGTCCAAAGTGTCAATCCCTTTTATCTCCACTACTTCCAGAGAAGAAATTATCATCAACCAAAAGATGAAGCTAAGATTGCATTAGACATATAGAAGTTCCTCAGTATAATTATATATTGCCACTGCATCAATTTGGTAAAGGCATAAATGCAATAAAGATTCACAAAAACAATTATAATGTTACAAATGTTACAATATTTAACAAAAATTACAATGTTACTTGTAAGTTTTGGAGCTAGAATACTTTGAAATTAGTATGAGTGAGGACAGACAGACATTTGGCAGGAGGCCAACAAACCACAGACACAGATTCTCTTCATTACCACTTCAAAGCGCACATGCTGCCTTTTCCTGTCTTGAGCTGTAACACTTGGACTGCTTCCTATGAGCAAAGTCTCTCCCTTCACCGTGCCCTAGGGACTCCTGGTGGCACTGAATTGGTGGCAGAGAACTTAGGTTGATACCACTATTTATGTAACACTAAATACAGACTGGTTCTTTACTTGCCTCCCCCACCTCAACAGAATGAATTACTTTACAGCAAAAACTGTGGTTTTCCTGTCACCTATGCCTAATAAAAGAAAGCACTGAATACCAGTACCAGGGGTTGGCAAAACTACCACAGGCCAAATCCAGCCAACTGCAGAATTTTGTAAATAAAGCATTACTGGAATACAGCAACACTCATTCATTTACATATGTCTATGACTGCTTTCAATCTACAACAGATATAAATAGTTGCGACAACTACTGTATGGCTCACAAAACCTAAAACATTTACTACATGGTCCTTTATAGAAAAACTTTGCTGACTCCCTGACCTATATGGTAAATGACTGAATAACCAGCACTGATACCAAATGCAACCAATTTGAAAGTTAAATTAACAAGTATTTTAACATAAATATCTGGAGCTTTATATGTGCACATGTGTGTACTATAAATGTCTGAAGAACAGCACATAAAATATTATAATGTTTGAATAAGTTCAAACTGATAATTAGTCTTATAAGATGTATAGTAGCTATCCACCGTATTGGTTAATAAGAAAACAAACTTTACCATCTGAATAAACTTTTATCAACTTAGTCCCCTAAATATACTAAGGATTGCTGCTACATTATTGTAGTTAAACATTTCTTACAATGAACCTTTTTGGGCAAAATCTTTTCATTTCACTGGAAGGAAAGCAATTAGTTTTTAGGATCTAAAGCAATGCAATGCCATGTTTCTCACACAATAAATGTTATTTTGTTATGATAGTAACACTTCACTTAGGCAGCTCTCATATTTCACTTAGAACATAGCTAAGAAATTAGAAACAAAAAAGGAATACTTTTAACAGCTACACTCTCCCAAAGTCCATACATAAAGGGTATATATGTTTGTGTATATATATATATGTATATACACAAAAATGTACAAGTAAATATAAATTTTAATATATACTTATATTTAATGTAAATATAGATATTTAATTGATACTATTTATATTTTTAATATATAGATATAATAAAGACAACGTACAACTCAGAGCCTGTTAGTTTTACACACAATTATATACAATAAATAAAGATAATATATCTTTAATTTATAAAGATAAAATGCATAAAAATAAACTCAGCTTATTTGGTTGGTTTTTCTTTCGTTTTTTAATCGAGGTATAACTGACATATAACATTATAGTTTCAGGTGTACGAAATAATGATTTGATATTCGTTCTTAATTATACACATTACATACAAACTTGGTATTCTGACTTCGACAGCCAACCAAAATTAAAAGTACCAAATTATAATAAGAAAATTTTATTCCAAAAGCAGGCTAACAAACTTGAGGAGTAAGAAGTATCAAATGTAACCAGCCTTTAGATAACTTATAAAAGTTTTTAAAGCCTTGCTACACAAAACGATTTCTCAGGATAAGGGGACCTTCTTAGAATTGTGGAAGCTACATTTTAACAACATCCTCAGGTGATCTGTATGAACATTCAAATTTGAGACTTCTGATCTAGAGGTATTAGACCAACTGAACATTGCTAAAAGAAAATACTCTGTCTAGAATTGCTCTTGCAATCATTCAAATCCAATTTCTAATTTCACAAAATACAGATGGAAAACTTACAGCAATAATTAAAAAAAATGACAATACCTTAAGCACTTGAACTTGACCTTCTGTAGTAATTTCCTTTAGGAGGTCACAAAAGGACTGGCACAGACCTACTGCATATGTCTGAAATTCAATCAAAAGTCAAAATACACCCATGAGTAAATCTGCAATATCGAAAACCACATAAAATTCAATGCTTATAAAGCTTCCTTCTCACTTAAAGTAATATAGATCAATCATTTAAGTTTTGAAAAGGCACCTCCTGATTTCAAATGAGAATCAAAATAACAACTATATAAATTTTTACAATGCAAAAACTGCAACAACATACCTGTAAAAATTCTGTTGATGACAAAAAGATATACCCATTGATGATCTTAAAGCAGGTTCTGAGATTTTCTGAACTTAGTTCTGCCAAAATAATAATTAAAAAAAAAGACAAACTAATTCATTGTTCAAAATCAGATTAAATAAGGTGATTTATTTAAAACTAAGTTAACAACCTTTCTTTACAAATCTTTTCTGAGTGCTATTCAGAATACTAGTGTATAGATATCTCTCTAAAAACTGGCATTGATATATAACTTAATGCTTTCTTATACCTCCCACTAGATAAAACAATTAAGAATATTAAGCTCCTTTTTCTTTCAGAAAAGACATAACCATTTGACCCAACCTTTTGAATCAAACAATATTTCTAGTGCTAGCCTGGCAAACGACATGCAATTGAATCATTTTACCATCATATGTTGACATCTGCTTAAATGGATTCACTAAATAAGCATTTACCGAGTACTGTGCTGGCACTGAATATGCTACACTAGTTATGAAAAGAGTCCCTATTATACTCCAAAAAATTATATTGTTTAGCTATTCTCAGTCCTGGGCTTTGTTCTGCAAATCTGCTCCCCTAAAAAACCTACACATAAAAAATGTTCTAAAAAAGTAATTATCAGAATAACATAGGAAGAAGATATTGTTTTTAGCTATTCCTTTTCAAGTGTAAAGTAGAAAACTATTTTATTAAAATTGAATACAGTGTTATTTTACATGTCTTATTACATGTAACACAACAGAATAGAGATTACATGTATATAATTACATAGGTAAAAACATGACCCCAAAATATCTGTATCTAAAACCTGCCACTCTTTGTTGTTAATATTAGAAATTCTATTCACTTGCAATAAGAGAATTTAAAGAAAATTTTTTTCTGGCAAAATGTTGACCTTGACCCTGGTTTATCCAACTCATATTCTAGCAAAGTAAGAAGACATTCTATTCATATAAAAATTTCCCATAAACTTCACAAAAAAATAACAATCCTACCTCTAGCTCAAAATGTATTTTAAAATATTAGTTCCTAAACTTTAGGATTTAACATATTAATTTAAAATGAGGATGTAGAGAGGACAAGGTCTGACCAACTTGTTACCATGCTAATAAAAGACACACACATACATACACACAAAGGTTGTCATCTAAATATTTTCACAACAAAAAGGAGACAAAATCTCAGCATAAAGGGGTAGGCCTTTAAATTGAATAAGGTCAGCCTTATAAAAAATTCACACTGTCCTTTTTCTCCTCCAGGAGAAAGTCCTGTAAAGTCTGGACTTGTGCACATTGTTTAACAGAGCAACATTAAAAGCCTTGTGATAAGTAAGGCAGAAGGGTCTATACTTAAGTGAGAACGCAGAATTCCAGCCAATGTTAGGGAATATAATTTCTAAATCATTGTCATCTAAACTTTTATTAAAATCTATGATGAAGAAAACAATATTCAAGACAAACTGATTGCAAAAACCATACCGCCCATTTCTTCTTACAGGTATTTTAAAAACTATTCCTGGATCAATCTATACAAGCCAATACTCAAGTAATTAGCCCACTTCTAATTGCTTTCCATGCCTCCGTCATGCCACGGATAGCTTTTACTAAATTTTCTAGGGCATGTGATCATCAGCAAATATTAAATACTGGTATTAAATATATCCTTAAAATTACTAAATTTATGTTTTGAGGTATATTGAACATTATTCATTATATCCATGAGTTCCTAGTGACACTCTGAGGAAAAATTATTGTCTGGTCATAGTATCAGAACCATGCAAAGATATGCATTATTTTCAGACCCTGTGAATTATTAAAGTCAAATTATCTAAACCAGGGGCAATTTTCCCCTCCAGGGGACATCTGGCAATGTCTGAAAACTTTGGTTCTTAAAACTGGTATCTAGTAGGTTGAGGTTAAGGATGCTTAATATTAAGCTTCCTACAATGCACTGGATAGCCCCATACAGCAAAAAATTACCTGGCTGAAAATGCCAACAGTGTCCTGACTGAAAATCCCTCATTTAAGTGATCGAGTTTTTCTTTCATAGTCTGTGAGAGAGCTCTGAGACAAATCTGTGGCCCACCAAAGTATCTAATTATTCTGTGTGCATGTAAGATTTATATCCATTAGTCTAATGATAATTTATACAATGGTCCTTTGCTTTTCTCTATTTCTTTGCTCCTGTTTTTAATTTGTACTTTCAAGTGTTACATTTTATTTATTCTTTTCAGTTTCTGTAAAGGGGGCAAAGAGAAAAAAATTATGCTACAGAAATTCAACAGGAATCTATTTTTGTTTAACCACACTATTAATGTTTACATTCAGAAATGCAACTGCAAGTTTTTCTATTTCAAATTTTGATAAAATATGAAGGCTAAAATATGTAGGAGTACCATTAAGGCAGGTGAGAAAAAGTCTCTTCCAAATTAGATGGTAAGTTAACAGCAAAAAATTTTTATTGGTCAAGGAAAATTAGTTTGGCATTTTCAACAACAGGGACAAAAGCCAGTCAGATGTTTATCTTTTAAGTAATGAGATACTAAGTAAATTAACACTAAAAAATAGATTTAAAGGTTTTAAAAACAAGCCCTTAGAATTAAATTATTAGAATTACTTTTAGTTATAGCCTATGGTTCTACTTAACATATCTCCAGCTGTACTTAGATTTAGGAAAAAAGAAAACAAATTTTAGCCTTGGATATATTCACGCTTAATATACCCTAAAAATCATTAACTTAGACATCTTACAGTGTTCAATACTGTTGGCTTTATGTATTTTAAATGAAAATGAGACTCTGCCAGTAGCTTTATTTCTACTTAGAAAAAATTACCATATTCATTAAATAAATTTTTAAAAATCACTGATCTAATAAGAAAAAATGTTTATACTGATTAGAAAAATGAGTATTAATTTTGATCTATAGTCTTAAAAGATTAAAATATTCTGATTATATACCAAAATAAATTTTAAAGTTCATGTGAAAATGTATATGCAAAAAGCTACATATCAAACAATATAAATTAGTTATACCATACTCAAAAATAACAATAAGAGTGATGTAAAGGTAAATTAAACATGCAGATATAACTAAACAGTTTGGTCATTTTATTGAAGCAAATACACATGCCGTGATGCATAAAACAAATTATACATAATCTTTTTTGTTTTGAAAAGGAAATATGTAATTTGATACCATCCATATCATCTATATTCATGAAAACTATAAAATAGAGAATTTTTTAAATCTTTGAAAATTTAAAAAGTTTAAACCAAACATCAATGATCACAGGATGAAATTTCGCTAGTTCTTGATTCAGTTAAGTAACCCCACAGAGCTAGTGGTTGGGTACTTTTTCTTTTAAAATAGCAGTAATGTTAATAGTACTAAAAGTAGTAATAATATATTTGCAAAGCCCTTAAGAAGTGCTTGCTATGTACCAGGTGTTGTTCTGAACACATAAAAATCTTCACTGATTCGTAAGTACTATGCATCAACTACAAAGCTTCCTATGGTAAAACTGTGCTAGAGTGGCACTGTATATGGTCTCCAAGTTAGCTAGAATAGAACTAAAAGACCTTTGATGAAGTAAAGAAAATGAAAGGGCATTTCCCATTCTCTTTCTCTATGATGTCTTAAAACTTTCCCTAGCAATAGTGACTGGTATATCATCACTGGCTTCATCTTTGGGAATTTTTCCATAATTTTATGGGAATTCTTCATGATAAACAGCAGATGGCTTCTTATTAGAAAATATATAATATTTTCATATTATTTGAAATCTCATCTATTCTAAAGAATGGAGTAGATGAACAGAAACTCAAGAGAAAATGTGAAGGACTAATTAAATTATCTAGGCCATGATAACCTAGCAAATGAAGATTTTTTTTTAACCAGTTATAATTTTGTTTTAGTCCACTTCTGTTGATATTGTAAGAGTGCACTACTTCTCTAGTGTATCATTATATCTCAGTAATATTTTTGCCTCTAATAAAGCTGCTCACAAAAATAAATTCTCAGGAAAAAACAATCTTCAGATATTGCCAAAGTAAGTATTCCTCTTTTCCTACATAAATACCCTCTCCTGACCACATTAAACTACTCGGTATACCCAAAGTTCTAATGAAGGATTTAAAGATGCTTCATAAATGAGTCTTAAAGAATGGGGATTTTGAATGGAAAAAACTTAAATATTTTTTACACTTCATCAAACATTTTTTTTTAATGGCAGTATTGGTCAGACTGAAAAAGAATCAAGGGGCCAGTAAACAGCACTGCATACAAGCCTTAAACACTCCATCAGTTTACATGTGAATCTGTACTGGTAAGATCCCTCACAAAACAACTCTATAAACAAAACATTTTTTTAAATTTAAGATATTACATACTTGTGAATGGTAGCTGATAAGTAACAGAAAAGTATTATCTATTATTAATTATCATCAGAATACATGCTTATGTTGGCAAAAAAGAAACTAATTAGATCTCAACCAAGGTGGCTAAAAGGGACTAAGAGCCTACACCTAGCACAGCGTCTGTTTCTCTGGTTTCGTGTACCAAATATGTTGCTTCAAAAACATTAAGCTTCATGATTTCACAGCTCATATGTAAATAACACTTCAACAAAGAATAATATGATTTTCTAATATTTAATAATCTTCATTCTACGTGGTTCACATTGTGGTTCCCTAGCTAAATCAAGAGATATGTACAGAACTCATTTGTGAAAAACTATTAGCGCAAAATCACTTTGTAAAAGAAGATTAATAAAACCATGGTAAAGAGGAACAATTTTACAATATAGTCTTTTAGATGTCACATAAAACTGCTATCAAACAGAAATTTTATTGAAGTTCAAACTTAACTGGTAGTTTCCTAAGAAAATTTTTTATTTAGTAATTTAGTAAATTTAGTATTTGCTCTTTAATAAGCAGAAATGATTCTTAAAAGTTATATAAAAAAAATCTAGAAACTGTTAAAACACTATCCAACTTATTTGTCAATATCAGGGACATTTGTAAAAACATAAGGTATAATTTAAAGTCACTCATAATTCCCAAAATTATGGTTGCATTCAAAAACAGTAGTGAGTTTATGCTTTAATACGTACCAAGAAGTGGTGACATATTCTGAAATATACGAAGCAACTCTGGTGTAACACATGGGCTGTTTTCCAAAGTCACTAACCTGAGGGAAAAGGGGGAGGGAGAGTAAATCACTTTCCATAATCATTAAAGCTATTAACAATACAACTTAAATTAAAAAAACGGTCCCGTCTAAAGAAAGAAAAATAGACAATACAGAGTTATAAAATTACCTTTCTAAAAAAAAATTGCCAAATTCATCAAAATAAAACACCTATGTACAAATCATATAATATTATTTCTATATGCATAGCAAAAATAGTAAGGAAAGTAACTATATACTAAAACATGTATAATAAAATGATGATAAAGCAAAAGCCTGATTATTTTAGATTGGTCAAGAAGAGATAAAAATTATTTCGTTGTTTTTATTTTCTTGAAATAATGTATAAAAAGTAAATATATATGGGTGTGGTTTATCACAGAAGTGTACACAGTTGGTTTACCTCCTCGACAACTCCCGCCCTAAAGAAGTTAAAGAAGAAAAAACATGACTGTCACAGTATCTGTAAGAAGAGGTGGTGGAAGTGAGAATCCTATTCAAAATCTAACATTCACTATAAAAATTCTTATTCAATTATAAAATAAATAGAAAGGTACTTCCTCTACCTGATAAGAGAGTATTTACCAAACACTCATAGAAAACACACTTAACGATGATATGTGGAAACTATTCTGTAGAAAAACAGAAACATGCCTCAAAAAAATCCTCTATTACCTTGTCTACCTTCATATTTATTGAATGTATATGTGGAGGGCTTCAAACAGAATAAGCCAAGTAAATTTAAAAAAAGATACAAGTAGGGGAGGAAAAAGTTAAAGTCTTTATTCACAGAAAACATGACTGACAAAAAAGAGAGGAAGAAAGAATTCATAAACAAATTACTTTAAATTACTAAGAGAGTTCAGCAAGGTTAGTAAATATATCAATAAATATATTGTGATTGCCCTCCTCTTCTCACCAGAAGCAAGAGACACAGATGGGCATTTTATAAAAATGATGAGATGCAAAAACACAAAATACAACATTCAAAAATACTGGCAACACAATACACTGTAAAGCATCAGTTGTTTATCCTTGTAAACCACTGTCCATCATCATGAGAGAGCATCATACTACATATCATCCAGGAAGAGATCAAAATTCAAAATTCGAAATATGGCTTCTACTGAATCATAAAGTTGAAATATCATAAGTTGGACCACTGTAAGTCAAAGACCATCTGTACAAAAACCACCTGAATTTCTATATATTGAAACAAATACTTAAGATTTAAACAGATGATGTTAGTAGAATCATAGATACAAAAATCAAACATCATAAAGATGTCAATTCTCTCTAAATTGTTATATAGAATCAATAAAACTTCATTATCCCTTCAGGGCTCTTCCTCGAAATTAGGCAAGCTGATTCTAAAACTTTATGGAAGGCAAATGACCAAGAACAAACAAAAAAATTTTTCACAAAAATAAAAAACTATGGGGATTAGGGGAATATACCTGCTTTATCAGATGATTTACTATAAAACCAGTGTAATTAATATTGTACACAGAATAAAAAGCATAAGAAACAGACCTTTTTGCATGGACAGAAGAGGCTTCAAAGGTCAGTAAGGAAAGATGAACTGTAAGATACTGGACCTCTACCTCATACAAAATGAAAAAATTAATTCCAGGGATTTATATGAGAAAGGTAAGACAACTTTACAAGATGTCAGGAGAACATTTTTATGGCTTTCAGTTAGAGAAAGGTCAAATAAAAAGACAAATATGACTACATATAAATTAATAACTACCATGTATCAAAAGAGGCCTTAAAAAAAAAAGCTAAAACATAAGTCACATACTAGGAGATTATTTACTACACACACACACACACACACACACACACACACACATAAATAGCTCATACAAAATGAAAAAATTAATTCCAGGGATTTATATGAGAAAGGTAAGACAACTTTACAAGATGTCAGGAGAACATTTTTATGGCTTTCAGTTAGAGAAAGGTCAAATAAAAAGACAAATATGACTACATATAAATTAATAACTACCATGTATCAAAAGAGGCCTTAAAAAAAAAAGCTAAAACATAAGTCACATACTAGGAGATTATTTACTACACACACACACACACACACACACACACACACACACACACACACATATGAATAGTATCCAAAGGAATAATATCCAAAAGGACAGAACACATAAACAAGCATTTCACATAAGATACAAAATTGGCAATAAACTTGAGTGTAAAAAACATAAAAATATATCCAACATGACTAGTAAGCAAGAAAATGTAAATTTTAACAAAAAAATGTACAATTTACCACCTCCTCTTTCACCCCCCCCACCCCGCCAGATTAAAAGATGCACCACATATTGGCAAGTTTAGAGAACAATGCTGACAGGAATTGTCAGGTTGGTATAATCACTTCGGAAAATAAATGTACTTATGTATATATCTATGACCATGCAATTCCATTTCTAGGCAGAATGTATACAGTGTAGAAGGTCTTATACATTTGTACCAAAAGTCATGTACAAGAATGTTCGGAGGCACATTATTTGAATATCAAACAAAATGCCACAGAGTAAGTGAATTCTCTTACATTCACAGCATTAAACATCAATATGGATAAATCTCAAGACAAGGAGCCAAAATGGCATGTTAACAGACATAAAATACAATTTATATAAAGTTACATGTATTGTTTAGAGATATACATACTAATTTTAAAAACATTAAAACACAAGAAAGAAAACCAAGAAATGAAAACAAAAATATAGTGGGTTATCCCTGCCATGGAAGCAGATAGTATCTTTAACACTATCATTACTATTAATGTGACTATATTACAAAAATGAAGCCTATAATAAGTCATTAAAATGAACATTAAGTTTAAAAATTTGTACAAATGACATGTTGTATTTATAATGCAACAAATCTGGATGTGAACCATACACTTTAATAACAACAAAAAATAATGTTTGCACAGAGTCATTTAAAAAATTGTAATGCTATCTCTGAAATAAAAAATAAATTATATATATTAAGAATTAAGGGAAATAGGCAGTTATACTCTAAGACAAATTCAAAACTTTAAATGTTTTAGCTCTTAAGAAGAACAAAAGCAATAAACTAACCAATTGTCTTACAGTTTTAAGAAAATACACCCACAACTAAGTATAGGAAGTAAAAAATCTGAAGCAGAAATAATGAAAGGAAAGAAACAGAGGTAGAATTCATAAATCTAACATGTAGTTCTTTTATATTAATAAAAAGAAAAATCTCTAATAAATTACTTTAAAAAAAGATAAAAATGACAAGTAAAGCAAATGTAATTTTTTGCTTTTTCAATGTCTGTTAATTTTAGCAATTAGTCCTTTAAGATACTAAAAAAAAAAATAATTTTTTATTAGTATCTTAAAGGACTAATTGCTAAAATAATTTTTTATTAGTATCTTAAAGGACAAATTGCTAAAATTAACAGACATTGAAAATCAAAACCAAAATAAAAGTGTAAACTACCAATCAAGAAACAATATGAAAACATTACCAAAACTGTGATCAACTTCCCAGCCCTGCCATTAGTCTATCTCTAGTTTCCTTTATTCATGAATTTTCAAATGATCCAAAAATAGTTACCATATTATTGAGAACATCCCAGTATGAAGAAAATAATTCTTAAAAATTGATAAATTAGTAAAATATAACCTTGATATAAAATTAGACAGTATCACAAAATGATCCAACTCATAATTAGAGGAAAAAATAAAATTAGATAAAATATTAGAAAACAGTTATGCAATATATTAAAGTAAAATTCATCCTATCAAGTAATATTCATCTCAGGAAGTCAAAAGTTTTCTAAAGAGAGATTTTTTTTTTTTAAAAGTAGAACAATATAATCTCCCAAGTAGACAACAAAAACAATCAAATTAGTTTTTTTAAATGATGAACATATTACATTTAATGGTACATAGCTGACGTTGGCTGTTTACCAGTATTCATTACCCCATTCTATTAAAAAAAAAAAATTGTTCATGCAAGGTCTTTTTTCAAATTCTGCGTAAAAAAATATTTTAGACTATTATATGCTTGTATAGAAAACTAAGTTACTGAGCTAAATCCTAGAACATAGGTTAAATGACACAGAAAAACAAGCCTAAAGCAAGTAGAAAGAGATAAACAGAAGAGCAAAAATTAATAAATAGGAAACAAACATGCAACAGAGAAGTCAAGCCAAAGGTTGGTTTTTGAGAAAACTAGTAACACTGACAAATCTCTAGCAAGATAGATCAAGGGTGAAGGAAAGGAGCCATCGAAAAAAAAAACACACATAACGAGTCAAAGAGTTTCATTTTATACATGTGACCACAAACATCAGCTGGTACAAGTTATCCCTAATAGGCTCAAATCCTCATTCTCCAAGATAACTGCTTTATACCTTTGCTCCTCACAAACCATTAATATCTTCATGCACTCCCACCCTAGCCCATAACACTCAGTTGATAACTATGCTTCATATTTTCTTGAGAAAATAGAAGCTATGAGATGGAACATCTTTGTACCTCATTCCACTACAATACAGAAATCTATCTTCCTGTCTCCAGTTAAAATGGATGAAGTATTCCTGCTACTTAAAAAAACAAACAACAAAAAAAACCCCACAACAACAAAAAACAAAAAACTTTCCATCACTTCTTGCCTCCTTCAATTAATCTCTCTAGAGTCTCTTCTATCCCTCTAGACTGCCAGATTTCTACACTCCTTTTCATAGTAAAAGTTCTCAAACAAGTTGCTGATGCTCACAATCTGTATATACTTAACTCCAATTCACGCTTCGATCTACTCCAATTCTAACTTCTCTCCTTAATACACCACTGAAACCCCTCCTAACATTTTTATGTGGCCAAATTCACCTCCCTATATTGCTCTTACTAGAATAATCAGCAATATCCAACATAGCTGACCACTCTCTCTTGGCTTAGTTTTTCTCCTGTATCAGCAGACAGCTCTTCTATGTCATCTTTGATGACTCTTCATGTGATCTCTAAATATTTTAAGTTCTTCAGGATTCTGCCCTTAATAGAATGTTCTCTATCTGCTCTTCTCTTTCTAAGCAATCTCATCCATTCTCACGCTTTAAATGTCACATACAAACTGCTAACTACTTTACAAACATTATCTCATAAAAAGTAGAACAATATAATCTCCCAAGTATCTTATTTCGAATGAGTTCTAACCCACTAACAAAAATATATGAAGACATGTGTACCCTGATTTTTTAAAGAATCTTAGATATTAATAAATGGTAAATTTTTAAAAAACAAATCATAATGACTTAATTTTGTTTACATATAACTAAAGGCTAGGAAAAAAGAAATTAACATTAACAGAACAATGCACTGTTCATGTAATCCTTAAAAAATTTATATACTTTTAATAAACACATTAATATATGGTTTGTAATATTGATAAATATCTGAGTCTGACTCTTTACCATAATTAATATTTAAAAATTTTGTACTAGTTAACATCATATAGTATATATATGTTTATAGGAAAGTATTTATGTGCCAGAGATTAATGTTTTAATTTGTAATCTAGAGTAGGGGTTGGCAAACTACAGCTCATGGGCCAAAGCCAACCCATACCCTAGTTCTATAAATGAGGTTTTATTGGAGCACAGTCATGTCCATTTGTTTACATATTGTCTATGACAGCTTTGGAGCTAAAAATAGCACTGAATAGTTGAGACAGAAAGTGCACAGCCTGGGAAGCCTAAAATATTTATCTTCTGCTCCTTTACAGAATATAATTGCCAACCTCTTATCTAGACTAATCCATCCTATACTAATAAAAATATATGAATATAAAAGTTTCCAACACATGCTAATTTATAACCAGACTACCCAGAAGTCATTTAACTTCAAACATAAAAGGATGAGAAATGCAAACTGCAAATAAATATCTACCTAGTTACGTTTTAAAACTGTACACCTAGTATTCTGATACAGATCATTAATTTATAATATGCACCAAAGACAATTTCTACGAATCAAAAACTGTTCATTCCTAGATAAAACTAAGGAAAAACTATGGAAGGAAGGGAGGGAGGGAGGGAAGAAGAGAAGGTGGTGAAAAGGAGGAAGAGAGGGAGGTCCCAAATGTTAATTTTTTTCTCTGGTTAATTTCTGTAATTTGCTTTTTTAATTCCAATATCAGTTTATATATTAGAATTTTTAAATGTTGCCTGTATTATAAACTACATTTTAAATAGAGATTGGCTCTGCAGAAAACTACTGCCATCAGTTAGATAAATAAAGCAAAATGATTTTCTAGCACATGTTTTTGTGGGATTTTTTTTGTTTGTTTTGTTTTTTATCTCGACGCCACACACTTCATTTAGTAAAATAATAAGTCAAGACTAAGTAACACTAACATTTGGGGCTGAGGTATAATCTCAGTACTTACTGGGTAGGATAATAAGAGGTTGAAAATAACAATCTCCCCCAAATCTCATTTAACACATTATTAAGTTTGGAAAATTTATGAAGATCCCAATTTTACATTCCAAATTCCAAAAGATGAAATGCAGCTAAATTCTTACAGAAACTCCCCGTTTGACTACTATAAGCCTACACTGAGTCACAGCTACTAAAAAAAGATGGAATGATTATGTTACCCAGTTCGGGGAAATTGATTTTATGTTTTTGTTTTTAATTGTTGAATTGTTAAGCCCTGTTGCATGATCTTTGCTTTATTGGCATGAGGGTAGGGAAGGCCAGGAAAAAAAAATAAGATCCATAGTATCAAGTTTTTCCTCTTACCATAATTCTAAACCATCTTCCAGAAGATAAACATGTGGAGGCTGGGAAACATCTGTACTCAGTTGAATAACTGGGAGCAGGAAAGGGTACAGGTTCTTGCTGTCTGCTCCTAATCCCTATGGGAAGTATAAATAAAACTTAACATAAGACACTCTAAAGTCCCACCCCCAACACCAAAAAAATCATCTGTCATATTAAAAAAAGAAGCCCTAAAAACAATTTATAAAAAATAAATCAATCAGATCTTAAAGGAAGGTCCTAATTATAAGCACTCCTAAATCAAAATTAGTTCTCTTTAGAATTACAAAGCAAGTAGCAAAAAGGTACTATCCAATTGCACAATGGTAGTAAAACCATATAACCAAAGCTACACACACCTGTTCATTTTGAGATTGCACATATATTTATTTTCCCATCCCTGACTACTGAAGAGGTGTTAACACTAAAATGTTAAACTCTATAAATTATCTCACCCAAATTTAACTAATCAAAAATAAACCCAACCTAAATGTTCATCATTTAAGATAATTAAATTATGATACATTCATATTCTAGAATACTCAGTAGCCATGAAAAAAAAATTAGGCATGGAATAAAAACAATCTTAAAAATAATTATGAATTGGATTTAAAAAGTGCAGAAATATGTATAATAATTCTACATGCCAAGGAATTTTTTTAAAGAGCTATATTTCTGTATATACAGATATACGCATAAAAATATTTCTTGTGAGAAAAACAAAAAATTGTTAACACTAGGTAAATATGGGAAGGGGAAAAGGAGGTTGGAAGAGGGTAAAAGGAGCTTTTTTTTTACTTTTTTTGTAAGCTTTTTAAAAATATCTACATGTTATTTTTTAATGAAGAAATTTTGTTAATATTTTTAATGAACCAAGACCACAGAGACAGAGGGAGAAGAGGGCATTTAATCTAAAATTCTACTTTGCCTAATTATTGTCATAAGTTTGAGTCAGTGTGTCACACTAAACATAAACACTCTGAAAAAAAAAGGATAAAAAATCCATTTCTAATTCATAATAACCTCTATAATCTGATTAACACAAAAAGGAAATCAAATAAACCATCAAACACCTCCTTTCTTAGAAAATAATTCAAATGTCAATATAATTGATAGCAGATTACAATGCAACAAAATATGTATGTATTCCCCTTTTGAAGAAATATATGTATACTAAATTCAATCTTTATCAGTGAGGCATAGATACTACGGTGGAAATACATAAAGTTTATTCTTAAATAGGTTAAGCATAGGTTCTGGCCCTTTCTAGAACTAAAAATAAGGTGAAACATCTTATTAAAGATTTTTCCAAAGAAGAGAATCATAAAACTGTCACAGTTAATAAAGTAATATATGTTGGACCTTAAAATTCAGTTAAAATTTCACTCTCCATAGCTCAATCTTTAACAAAACAAAAAAGAAAGAACATTAAGAAAAACTAGTCAAGTTCATATTATCAGGCAGACTTAAAATTCCCCACAAAATTAGAATCTATCTACTTAGTATACATCCCAATGAGCACAATATGCTAGCATATTGTAAAAGTAAGCAACTGCTAAACATATAAGACTCTCATCTAAGTCAAAGCCTGAAGAGATTCACCTTTGTTATCTAATGGCCAATCTCAGACATGCAGCTTTAAGTAAATTTGAATATTCATTTGGCCCAGTCATGACTACAAGACATTGTCTACAACACAATGAAAGCTCAAAAATAAATTCATCAGTTATTTAAAAAATTATCAGAAATGCTTAAAGTGGGGAAATCATATTGTACTACTGTTACCTAAGACCTAAGGGGAAACTAGGTGAAGGGTACAAGGGAATCTCTCTGTGCTATCTTTGCCACTGCTGTGAATTTTTTTTTTTTTTTTCAGTTAAAGAAAAAAAAGAACACTGGCATTTCTCAGCGGATTGTCTTTCACTCTAACTACAGCAGGTCTTGGAATAATAACGTTGTTTCGTAATAACATTGATGAGATATAACTTTTACTTATATCAATTGGCCTATAGTAAAATTGGTTTGTTATACATCATTTCACTTAAAATTAGACATTAAGGACTTTACTATACATGCTAATAATGTCCAAATCTATTACGTCTAACCCAAATCTCTGAACACTCTGAATGACTATAGGACATCATCACCCAGAAGGCATCTGAAACTCTTAAGTCTACCACTAAACCAACCCATTGTCTTCCTAAAAAATGGTTCCGCTTTCTGCATCTCCTAACTCAAGTGACATGAACCACTATTTTTTTCTAGTAATAAATTACATTGCAACCCCACCTCCTAGTTCTTCCTTCTTACCCCACATCTAATAATCCTTGATTCTCTCTCTAATATTTTTCAAATCTTTCCCCTTCTCCCCACGGCTTTACTTCTGGTCATCATCTCTTCAACGGTTAACGAAAGAGGCTTCCAACAACTTCCTTGACCTTCATTTTACTTAATACCAAACCAGTATCCCTACTGGTACTCTGATTAACTTTCTAAAATAGTGATGACACTCCTTCCTCTGAATTGTAAGAGATGTTCTTACATCTTCCTAACCAGGCCCCTATACCCAAGCTATGTACTCTATGTTGCAGCTATATCAAACAACTCAGTATTAGAAATCACTATGTTAATATCTGGAGAAAGTGGGAAGATTTACCCATGCATTTATTACTGTTCTCTCCCAAAATTCACTAAAAGAATATAAGAGGACATGTTTTTAAAGACCTAAAATTGTAAGTACAAAGACAGCATAAGATAAAAGCAATTCATTTTTCAAAGCTGGAAAGAAAGACAAGTGGTAACCATTCTAGCAGACTCAGAGAACCAAATCTCTAAGCCAGCAGTGAAAAAAGGGCAAGAAGTAACCTGATTTACATTACAGAAATTCCAAAAGACTCAGGAACTGAGAGCAACCGGGTATTTTGGGAAAAGGGAAAGTTGAAAGGAAGATATTAAAAAATAAGGTCTTTAAAAAGTAGATCTCATCCATGTGCACAAACAATGGCCCTTCCCTAAACCAGCATAAAACTGGCCATTTATTTTCTGGTAAAACAAGCAGTCTTGAGACAGGGATAAATCAGGTCATCAAGAGCATGGATACTATACAAAACAGGGAGATGTAACATGTAACAGGCATGAGACTGAAGAATCTTTCACTGAGAGAAGAGCCCAGAACATAAACTATTTCCTTTCTACAAAACCACCCAGCTGTATCATCCTTAAGGAAAAATCCACAATCAGCAAGTTTCCCATACATACACAACCCGTCCAGTTTTTTAGTTCCCACTCTTAAATTTATACAGACAATATAAGTTCTTGAAGTTGGGTAATTGTTACCTAAAAATCTATTATCCTGTTCTTCCTTCTTTTATGTATTTTTCACACACACACGCACGCATAAGCAGACAACAAGGATCATGATTATATGATTATAATATCTACTATGAAAAGCAGAGAACAAAACAAACAGAAAACAGCACCTTGAAGGAAACAGAGACCACACATAGAGAAGAAAACTTGGAAAATGTGTCATTATAGCATTTGTAGAATAAAAGAAAACATTGTATTCATGAAACAAAAAGGAAATGATGTAAAATGATTATTCAACACAACGTGAAAGAACTCGTAGACATGAAAAATATTATAAAGAAAAACTCAATAGAAAAATTGAAAAATAAAGCTGAGGAACTTCAGAAAGTAGAGAAAGGAGAAAGAAAAGAAAAAGGAGAGAACAATAAGAAAAATACAGGACTGGTGCATTCGTCTATTATCTAAGTAATAAGAAGTTCAGAAAGAGACAATAGAAAATAAGCGGGGCAGGAAATAATCAATACAATACAATAACATACTCTAGAACCCAAGAACATGAGTTTCCAGTTTGATATGTCCAGAACAATGGGATAAAAATACATCTACCTCATCATGAAACTGAAAACAAAAACAAAGTCAAAATCATACAAGTTGTCAAAAAAGAAAGGAGTAATGATGCATTCAAGAATCAGGAATTAAAATAAAATAGTTCCTAAAAATGCAATTCTAAAAGCTAGAAGACAAAGGAAAAATGCCTCTAAAACGTTGAGGGGGAAAAAAGCTAGAATTTTATACTTAACTACACTACTACAGAATAAAAACATTTTCAAACATGTAAGAATCTCAAAAAAGAAAAAAATTACCTCCTGTGTGTGTACCTTTTGCAGAATGCCATTGGTATTCACGGGCTCCATTTGAAAGAGGAGGTAAAACAAGGAAGAAGACCAGTAAAGAAAATAAGCATAGGATAGGAGAGTCAAGAAGAATCCTTTTGATGGCAGTGAAAAGGGATCCAGTTCTAATAGCTGTGCATGAGCATAGAGTAAAACCAGTCTAGACTAAAACATATAAGAATCTTTCAGATTTAAAGATTATGAAAGCAACAAAATACCTTATATGTCTCAGGATACTGAGGAAATGTTTAGATAACAGGTGAAGTGTATGAGTTTAGCTACCTAAATGTCGTAGGCAGAACTCTAAGATGACCTAACCATATGAACCCTTTAAAAGAGAGTTTTCTCTGACCAGTTGCATAAGGAGAAGTCAGGGATTCAAAGCCTTAGGAGATCTAAGAATTGCTCAAGGATTGTGGCTGGATTCTAAGGACTGAGACAGGTCCCAGCTGACAGCCAGAAAGGAGTCTGGTACCTCAGTCCTACAGATCAAGAAACTGAATTCTGCCAACAAGGTGAGTGTGAAAACAGATTCTTCCCCAAAGTCTCCAGGGGAGAACTTAACCTGGCAGACACCCCAATTTTAGCCTGTCAGACTCGATCAAAGAGTGTAGACATGGTGTGCTAGATCTCTAACCTAACAGAACTACAAGTTAATAAATGGATGTTGTTGGTAATGTGTTATTCGGTAATAGAAAACTTATAAACTAAGCAAACAAAATTACTAATACAGGGGTCGGTAATAGGAGAATGGTTATACAAGAAAGAAAATAAATTATAACATAATGACATATGCCTTCAACAGCCTTTGTAAGATCACACAAATAAAAACACCAAATAGTGACCTAATTTAAATTATAATATAATTACACCCATCCTTCGATTTAAGTGGATTATCATTTTTTACATAGAAGAAAACCAAGTAAAAAGAGTCCACTAATACGAAAAAATATATACTAAATAGGCCAACATAAGTCATAAAAATATTTATTTCACATATTTTCACCAAAAAATGCTAATGAAAATTCAGCAAAACCAAAATAAATTTTATTTGCTATCAGTGTCTGTGCTGTAATCTAAAGCAATCAATCTTCTTTTCAATAGGCACAGTCACTATCTTCATCACTTGAAATATTTGGAAGCACTACTTTGGGTTCATTATTTATGTTTATGTTTTTGAATAATCTTTTTCCAACCCCATCTTTTGCTAAAGTTTTCATAAATTCTTCAGTATTCACTGTAACAATTTTTATATCTGTTCAAAATTTTAAGGCTCATTGGATGTTTAGATCAAGATCTAGAATTGTGGTTTCCAATTTTGTGGCCAACTGAAGTGCTAGTGATGTAATCAACACACACACACATACACACATACATACATATATGTATGTATGTATATATATATATGTATGTATGTATGTTACAAGCTTCTTTAATTAAATTATGACACAGCTGGTGTGTCAGTGTGTCGTGTCAACTCCTACAGCTATCAATCAGTGATTTAATATTTTGTTAAATTAGTTTCAACTGCTACTGGCCACAGCACAACAACCAATTTTCAAATGTTCCATTGATAATTGTGTTAGTATTAGTTCTTTGTACATTGCTGAGTTGAGCTATTGTTTTTAGAAAGAATAATCGCCAATAATGGAAATGAAAAAGAAAGAACTGTGTAAAATGAGATTGTGTAAATGGAAAAGTCTGCATAAACAGAGCAGGTTTGGGGTGCGGGGGCGATATTTACCTTGTATTAAAAAACTAGCCCGAAAAAAATGCCACATAAATCAAAAGACAGGTGTACCTTGGGAGGATGAGGGGATAGGAGTCACATAGAGGTGAATGAAAGAATTAAATCTTCATCCTCTATACAGGGAACTCAAGAGAGAATGCCTACAATGTTTAAATCAAGAATGAACAATGTAAGTATGTCACTTAGAACCAGAGATAATAAGCCTAAAAGACCAGGTTAAAGCACTGAAAGTAGACTTCTCCACCAAACAGGAAATGGAGATACTGCTACTTTCCATAAAAAATCTTCAAGAACTCACTCCTTAACCTATCTATCTAACATGTAAAACTGATCAATTCACAAACCTAAGGAGAAGGAACAAAAAGTACCATGTTCTCTCATGCCTATGGGGCTTAACACATGTTGGCACCAATTTGTTTAAAATATCTTTACCACTCTCATCCCTGCATCACCATGTAATTAACATCTCTTGTTTAACACTATACACCAACACTGTTTAAATACCACCTCTGTCAGGAAGGTTTCCCTGATGTCCTACCTCACCCTCAAATCTGAGATAAGTAACCCACCATGTGCCCCCATAGCATCATGCTCTTATTGCTAAAAAAGCACTTAACTGTTAGTCTTCCCCCTAGAACAGGGGTCCCCAACCCATGGGCCACAGACTGGTTCTGGTCTGTGGCCCATTAAGAACTGGACAGCACTGCAGGAAGTGAGCAGCTGGCAAGTGAGCGAAGCTTCATCTGTATTTGCAGCCACTCCCCAGCGCTAGCATCACTGCTTCAGCTCTACCTCAGAACATCAGGCATTAAATTCTCATAGGAACACTGGTTCCTGGTGCCAAAAAAGCTGGGGACTGCTGTCCTAGAAAACCACATTCATAGAGAGCTTGCTCTATTCATTTCTGTATCCCAGTGTGTAGTATCATGTACTGCATATTGTAGGTATCCAAAAAAAAATTTACTGTATGAATGAATGCCTACTCCCACTAAAGCCAACTACTGCAGACTAGAAAGCTTATTTTCAGCCACTATTACCCTCTCCAGTCAGAGATTAGAGTCTGGATTCCCAGAATTAATTATTTATATAATTATTTTAAAATATATTTATTTATTAAATATTTATATATGTATAAATACTTACACTAATATCTGCCTGTTAAATTTTAAAAGTCGTAGGATGGCATTGTTTTCTATGAAAAGAAACTTACCAGTAATCCTTAGTACAATTTTCTTAAATGACTGAAAAACTTATTTTAAGCTATAGTATCAATTTTAATATTAAACATTACATGATTTCTCCCAAAAAGGGAAGATAATTACCTGGTTGGAATCTTGTACCCTTGACCTATAAAATTACACAGGGCACTTAAGTATCATGATTAAAGGAAAAGGCTCTACAATACTCCAGTCGTTCCATGCAGGTTACTCTGGCTTCCTAAGATTTCCTGAGGCAGCATTGCCTGAAGAGACACAGAAGCTGGGTTTTTTTCACACCTTCCTCAAACTGAGTTTAAAAATACATAATACAAAAGATGTGGGAATCACTTTTTGTTCTGTTACTTACAAGAGAAATCTCAGGCTAGACACTAACTACCTCTTAGCATTTGTATCCTCATTTATAAAAGAAATATAATCACTCAGGATAATCACAAGAATTAAGAAGTGGGCAGGAAGAGATGCTAGGACAGACACTCATTAAAAACAAAGTGCATTTAAAAAAAATTTGTATCACTATTCAATCTAAAACTGCCTTAGACAGAAATTTTTAACTGTAAAACTTGTCCATAAATACTTACTGAAAGAATGAGTTTATTTCAAAAAAGTGTCAGGGTGCCTGAAAAAAGTTTGTTTTTTTTAAACTAATATTAGAAAGGATTCTTTTCTGTTTAACTTATTAGAACATTTTGGAGTAGTAATTCTTAATTTAGAGAGATCTCATTGGAAAATCTATCAAACTTCGGGGCAGGGGCAGTAAAAATCACTTAAAGCATCCCTGTACCTAGGTATTCTAAGTTTTGGCATTAAGCTATTAACTCTCTACACTCTCGCCATCAGACTACAATTCACTTTAACAGTTCAAAAGAGAACTACAGTCCCATTCTATCTGAAGTTTAGGTTCCTCTCTACCTGTTGCACATCCCAACACTTCAAAGTCAAGATGTCTAATGTCAAATTCACTTCTCTCCTCAAAAGCCACTCACCTGTTTTCCTGCCTTCCCAATTTATAAAAGAAAAAAATTTTATTTTAAATAAAGGATAAAGAGTGAAAACAGAGAAAAAGTTTAGGCATAAAAGCCCTAAATACCAAGGAAGCTGCCTGAAAGGTATAATGGATTATACAAATTATGAGCTACCATCACTGGGGACAGCTACATCTAATAGAAGAAACTGTCTTTAAAAAGTAGAGAATATTTTTCAGATGTCAAAAATGTCCAAAGCAAACATACAAAAGGTGTTTTTAAAACTGTTTAGATAACACATAAGACGAAAAACGTGAGGCCTTTCATTGCTATTTACATAAACCACATGAAAACAATGAAAAATTTTTTAAAAGAGAAAAAAATACTAAACTAAGAAACTGTGGAGAAGTATCTTACCTGAACAAGATGAATAAGTGTTGTCAGAATAGCACATCTCAACATATTGTGTTCTTCACTCTGCTTCCAAAGAAGAGGCAAATATTGCACCAAGCATCCTACATACGGTCGTATCTATCACAACAAAAATAGGGGAAGCAAAAGAATTGTTATTAGGAAAGAAGGTGACTTACTTCAAGAAACACTGACAGACCTGTTAAGTCCCAGACAGCAAATATTTACTATTTACTAGATGTAATGTATTAAGCATATATCCTTTTAAAGGTAAATCATACATTATATAGAGACACAGAGCTCTATAAATATTTTTAAAAATTTTAAACAAGTACCAAATTTATTGCGTAAAATACAATTTAGGAATATAAAATAACACATAGAGGCCAGTTATTTCTTTAGAGTTTAATAGAAAATGCTGCTAATCCTGATTCTTTTTTTAATTAAACAGTTTACCTAACTGGAAATACACTGTTTTACAAAGAAGCAGCATTTACGCAGTCATTCAACAATTATCTGATGGCATCTTGCAAGTATCAGGCCTTGAGTACAAGGCACCAGAAAGAAAAGGATATAAAGGTAGACATACAAACCGTTACAACGAGAAAAGAAAAGTGCAATAGTGATGGTGTATGTGAGGGATAGTGGAAACACAGAAGAAAATCCCTTTCAAAGGATAAAATTGTTAACATTCTAAATTAAGTTAACTAGTTTTAGAAATATACCCTGAAGCACAGCACAGCTTGACAGTGAGTTTCTTAGAAAATACAATGGATCTACACTGAGGCTGCACAGCACTTCGGCTCTGAACTTAGGGTCGCAGTATTTGGAATTGCTCTAATCAGAACCCTTGGTGGTAAAACAAATGCTAGACCTGCACAGCTTCAGTACTATCTATTTCAATCCCATGGATAAAAATTAAAAATTACTCCCAGAAATAAGAGTTGTTTTTTTTGTTTTTGTTTTTTGCTTATAAAACAGCATACACTATAAAGGTTAGAAAAAAAATTGCAGGGTAGGGGTGTGGAGATTTAAGATATAAGAATGTACCGAAGTTAAATATTTGTCCAAATATTTCAGTGATACCTTATTTTCAAATTTCGAATCAAACTATTACAGTGGATAATATTTACTGCTTTTGCTAAGCACTCTATCTCAAAGATCACTCCAATTAGCTTATAAAAGGAGGCCAATTAACATGTAAAAACGCAGGTTTCAAAATATCTAACTCATTCTTACTCAGCTGAAACAGCATATAACACCGTAGTTCTACTGATAAGGCAAATAAACTGGTTTTGGTTTTGAACAAATAGAATACTTTTCAAGAAATGGCAGAAAGTACACTATGAATTATAGATGGAATAGGTAATAAAACTGAAGTACCCAGTTACAGTTGAAAGTCACAAAATATTTATATTCCAATATTAGCTGTTCATTAGAATATAGTTCTAAATTAAAACAAACACTTCAAAACAACTATTTCAGAAATCATCCATAGAGTCACTGTTGCAAAAGACCAAAAAAAGTCTGGGGATTTAGAAAACAGGGTGATGGAATGAGAGTCAAACACATTCCCTTAAGGTAGGGCAAAGAGGTTTAAAAAAAAGTACATTGGGGCAACCAAGGAAATCTGAATATGGAGTTGGTATCAGATGACAGTACCGCATCAAGGTTAATGTCTCTGAGTCTAATGATATTAGAGAACTCTAAATATTAGAGTTCTAATATTTTGGAATGAGTGAAGTATCACGATGTCTGTACTAAAATTAAAATGGTTTTAATTTTTTAAAAATCTGCATATGCACATATCTAATTTTTTAAAATCTGTATATGTGGTAAAATGTTAGTAACTGATGAACTAGGTGAAGGATATATGAGTGGTGATTTATTGCAACTTTTCTGGATTTTTTGGTAGATCAATAGCAATTATTTGTATAGAGTTTAAAAAATGCATAGATTTAAGGATGTTAGACATCAGGCTAAATAATAACCGTATACTAGAAACTAAACAATGAGCATAATGCAATTGAGAGAAAAAAGTATTCTACATGCATTCAACTTTTGGCGTCTCTACTTCATAAAAAATCAGCATTTGGGTAGGAGTACTACAAGTAGTACAGTCTTATGAGTTAGTTTACCACATATAGAGAGATGACCACTTTTGTTGACAACATATTACTGAAAACATGAAAATCAAATATGTGACAGTCTAACAAATGTTTTAACAAGGGTTACATCCACAGATGGTTTTAAAAAATGAGTTCCTAATGACACCTCATCTTTTAGATAATGCTTTCAACAGAATATTTAATATTTCACACGGGCCTTTTAATGTTCTTCTTTTCCTTCAGAAATGTGTAAGTTCAAAGACTGTCTGCCTGACATCACGCCTGATGATTCCATGTTTCTTCTGACTATGTATTTATGGGATCCCTGCAGTGGAATAATTTAAGGTTTTCAACTACTTTTGCAGAAAGTACAGGAAATATAATCTTCAAATAATTACACACTATGGTATAAAGGTGGCGACTTCTCTGAACTTCAAAGTTAAACTATTATGTGCCAGAAAGCACTGTTGTAAGACAACTCAAAATATGTATAACGTAATGGACAAAAATCAAATTCAGTATATGAAAGACAGGTGTATATAAATGATGTTGTTCTTCAAAGGTAAATATAGGAAAAAGAAAATATAAGAAAAATGAATTATAGACTACAAATAACATTTCCTATCTAAGTTCTGAAAACAAAAAGTACTACTGGATAACTATATCTTCTTATTTACTGATGATAGAACTACCTGAGCTATTTAAGCTGTCTGTGTTCTGAGACATGAGTATGGATAGAAACACAAAAGCATTTTACATTTACAAAGCAACAGAAGTTTCAAATTTTTGGATAAAAAGGTTTAGTTAGAGGTTTGGGGAGATGCAGGTAAGAAATTCCATTTCAATAACAACAAAAAATCTTTAAAAAAGTTCTATTAGCTAGATAATATATAAATAAGATTATAAAAAATAGCCAAATCTTGTTTCTATAATCAATTTTTAAACAAACAACAATTTATTGTTATTGTATTGTGATCTAAATTGAACAGTTGTAATAATTTCATACTCATGAAACACCATGAGCTATGTGAGCTCAGAATTATCTTTACCATTTATACATGAGGACACAAGGTTCAACGTCTTGCCCAAGCTACCAGACTCATTGGGGTGATCATAAGGTACATAAATTTAGAATCACTATGTTGTACATCTGAAACTAATATAATATTATATATCAACTGTAACTGAAATATAAATTTAAAATTTAAATTTAAACAATTTGTAATTTTTTAAAAATTAAAAAAAAAATTCACCTTGCCCAAGCTAAATAATAGCAAAGACAGAGACCTGAAATGAGTTTAAAAGTTTCAATGACCGAACTCTCTCAATATTGTTTATAAGCCAATACCAAAATAAAATAACATAATTAATGTAATGAGAACCCCAGGTATTAAGAAAATTGATAAGATATTACCACCTTTAGACAACTGGATCCAGATCACCTCAAAATGATTAACAGTGATGCAAAAACTGCCACTGAAGTTGCATAATGTTGAGTCTGAAAACTGGCAATGCCAATAAGATGTCCAAAATTTGACAAGTTCCTTAAAATCTCAAACTGAGATAAATTCTAACCCCCTTCCCAAAGGTTTTTGTGAGGATTAAATGAGAAATATATCCAAATCGCTTGGCACAGAAGTTGGTAACTTGCCATTACTCAATAATTGAGAACAAGTCTCATAAACTGACTTAGAATTAATAAACAGGCTCAAGGCATCAAAATTCACTAACAGATCCAGGAGCAGATTCCAAGTGTGTAGATTCCAATTAAGTTATCCTTTCCTAATACCTCACAGATTCACTCAGTGCTTTTCAAACAAGAATATGTAATGGTAAACTAGGATATAAGAAAGTACAGGATAATTATAGTGTGGTTTCCAAGACTATCAATTTTCACAAAGATTAGGAGTAATAGGGGATGCTGAACAATTTGACAGTTAAATGATAATTTAACTATTAAGACCTTTACATATCATTTTTATATTAAACCAAACATGGATATAATGTGAGCTAAATCACAAAACACACTTAGTTTTTAAGGTAAAAACAGGCTTCTAAGAATATTTGCCTTTGCTGACAGACACTTGTGGCTAAGCCTTTAAATACACTGAATTTTAAGAAGTACTATTAAGTATAAACTGGATCTGGTAAGAGATATAAAATTATAGTTTCTAAATACCTCTACACTACTAATACAATTTTTAAATTTTCATTTTCTTAAGTCATTTTTTAAAACCTTGAGTATAAATATGTCAAATTTTGAATGACACATAACTGATATCACAACCTATTTTAATGAATGTTTTAACTTTTAAACAATGTATAGAAAGCAAAGACATTAACGAATTCTAGATATACTCTACTTACCTCTCTGACATTTTATTTTCATGATTTAAAACAAAATTACCTGCATGTTGACTCTTTCAATCACACAAGAAAGGACATGTAAAACATGCATCTTTGTGTCACATTCTGTAACTTGCTGCAGTAACTGAAAAAGTAGTGTGAACATGGTTTCCAAATACTGCAGGTCAAAAGGGGGAAAAAAAGGTTCAAAACAGAAATGTAAGACCTTCACATACAGACAAATAAAAGCTTAAATCATAATGTCAAAGCAATAAATAAAAGACAAAAAGACAAAGCAACCTCAAATTGTTCAAATTGTCAGTATTTGGAACAGTGATTTTTTTTTCTTCATTGCTGCTAATCTGTCCACTTTAGATTTTAACTCATCCACAAACAACATTTTCAGAAGAAAACTGTGTCTAAATTTTGTGCTTAAATTTGATATTGCTAACTATTAACAGTGACTTGTCATTGCTCTTCCACATATGCCTGCCATTGTGCAAGGTCTATTCATTAAAGTGAAAGAGATATCAATTACTATGCTCACATACCAACTGTTTGATGTGGCCCTTAACATATGCTGCATGCATACAAATTTTTCTAGGTAATATTTGTAACTCTAAGAATGACAGAACATTTCTTATTCAGACAGAAAAAACAAATACCCTATGTCTGACTAGTAACTCTTACATTATAAAAATTATAGCAGAAATTAACAAATACTAGAATGCCAGATACATAAAACAAATACTTGGTATTTCAGATATTGGTTCATTTTTATACAGATTTCTAAAACATATTTCTTTCATTCTAAAATATCTAGTGATTTGTTTATTAAAGAAAAGTCTCTGCTGTACAAGTTTCCACACAAGAATAACAGAGATATTTTTATCATATACCTTTCTTCTTGCCTAGTCCTCTTAAGAACAAACACTACTGCCCAAATGTTATTGATTAATTTAACACGTGCTTACTGAGTACCAATTATGTTAAAATGCCATGCTATGTGCTGGGTGTTGAGTGAAGAATAAAAAGACAAGTAAGACTTGGTAATTATTTTTCAAGTAATTTGTTATCTAGTGTAGGATAGAGATATATACACAAACAGCAAAGCAGGATAACATAAGGAATAAAAGTAACAGACACACATGAAATGAAATCACTAGATGTTTTGTAACTGTGACAAAAGAAAAAGTTTAGCAGTCAACTCCAAAACAGATGACAAGATAGCTAAACAAACAAAAAAACAAGCAGAATAAAAGCAAACTTTCAAAGAAAAGTTCCAACAATTACTTCCAAAGTAATCTAATATATTTTTAAATTCAGCCTTAATCAATAATAGCTATATATAATTTCAGCTATAAAACAACTCTTAATAGTCAGAAGAGATAAGCAGAAATTGTTATAAAACCTAGAAATAAATATTCTTACCGGTAGAAACTGATCTGTTCTAAACTCAAAATCATCAACAGGTGAAGAGCAGTTAAGGAATACTAAGAATATGTGAGATTCATCATGGTAAAATATATATATGAACCAAATATAATAAACCAATCAAAAATTACTTTTTAAACTATCTCATAAATTGATTTAACAAAATAATTAACAATTTTAAAGTGTTGTTAAAATTTTTCACAGTGAAGTATTTTAAAATTCTTTTAAGGATATTTAACTTCAGAGTTGTAGCTGTTTCAATACGGACCTAAAAGAAAGTACATCATGAATTTTGAATCATTCTAGAACTACTAAACATTATTAATATCAAATGATAAAAATTGTATACCAAATATCTTTCTTTACTTTTTGTTAACATTAAAGTCACAAAGCATATTCACATCTAGAAATAAAAGGACATTCCTTATTTATAGGGGAAAAAAAAGTAAAGTAGTGTCTACTCCCACCCTCTTAGTTTCACATGATTTCCCTAAGGAGATTTTAATCCAGTGGGTGTTTCCAGGAAGAAAAATAATTTGCCATAAGTGTGTGGAGAGAAAGAATAGTGCAAAGGTGATGCCAGAGGGAAAGGAAAGGTTGAGAAGCAGAGAAGTAGGAAAACAGGGTGAGGCTGGGGAAGCTGCAAGATGTGTAAGTGAAGAGTGAGGGAGGAGAAAAGAAGGAAGATGAGGGAGGAGGAAGAAAACAAATTCTCATTTCTAATTTCTATCACAAGAAATCCTTGAAACGGCAAAAGATATATTCTTAGATTTTTTAAATCCCCAAAGTTAACGAATACAGAAAGGTTTATACAAGCTCTTGACCTTCCCAAATCATATTTTCTTTGTATATCAGCATGTTACCTGGGAAAACCACATTATGACAGCACAATCTCCTTATTTTCTTTCAAGTTTTTCCATGATCTGATCAGCTATTTTGGTACGGGCTACCACACTCATAATTTCCACATAAAAGTAACATGAACACAAACCATGACTACATCCTATCTGTAAAATAATATATCTAAAACTTTCATTTCCTGGCTAAGAGCCATACTTTCTTTAATGCTATCTATACTTTCCATACCTATAACAACTGTTTTTTTCTTTGCAGCTATTTTTCACAATGAAATAGTTTTAATCATTTTACAGGTGCTTCTGAGGCTCTGAGATGACTAGCCATGTTCACCAAATGGTAAGTATTCTACTGCAAAATCCACAGATTCCAAGACCCTAGAGTTCAGATGTTTTCTCACCTGCCTTTTCTTTTTATTTGTTGTCTCTAGCATTTTTATTTGTTGTCTCTAATATTTCTAGATTTTTACATGATTTTAAAAATTTGCTGATTATCTACTAAGTGCAAACTACTATGCCGTTTTCTAATATGAAATGACCTAAGAAAAATATGGTATGTATACTCATGCAATTAAAAATATTCAATAAGAAACTGTCATCTGCCAGGCATTGTGTTGGGTGCTGTACAAAAAGAGCTGGGTAAGATGCACCTAGTCCTTTACTTTAGAGACCTTATAATCGAGGAGAGAGAAAAACACCCAGATATTAAATAATTAATAAATATGGCTAATTTGAAAAGCTTAAGAACAGGATAATCCCCTTGAGGACACGGACTATGTCTAGTCATCTTCAAATTGTCAGCATTTAGTACTATGTATTAATAATTTAATTCACAAACACGAGAATATGAAAACCCCCCAAAAGAAAATCAAATTGCCAGTACATTAACATTTAAATCTCTTTTGATTTTTCTCCACAAAAGGATGAGGGGAAAAAGGGTACAGAGATGTATTTAACCCATAATCATGACATTTATGCAAATAAGTATAGGAAACAAAAGACAGTTGAATGAAAGCTGTGTTTGCCCTCCTAATAAAAGGAAGTCAGTGCAGTATCACATGCAGAGAAAAAGATGAAATGAATTGAGACTTGCCTGCACTCCAGTTTAACTGCAAGATTAGGAAGCCAGATGATATGGGAAAACAAAAAGCAGACAGAGTAAGAGAGGAGCATTTAAAATGTAACAAATAAAATAAGAACAAAATTAGCTCTTCCTGAGCTATAAAAGAAATAAGAATTTACTGCATAGAGAGAATAAATTTTGCAGTAATTCATTAGTAATGGGGGAAGAAATGAGAACCTGAGTTTATAGAATAAAGAACTGGAGAATGTGGCAGAAGACAGGTAGAAGAGAGTCTAACACAATTTCTAGGACACTAATTGTTCAACAAATACTTGATAAATGCAAACAAAACAAAACAAAATAAAAAAAAATAAATCCTCCCTTAACATGATTCTAAACATGAGTTTTCATAGAATAAATCCAGACTTTCTGAAGGAGACTGAAACCCTAAGTATCCAGAACTGGATCCAGACTGTGAACTCAGCCTGTGAGTCTACACTATACTTCCAGGTGGAACCACAGAAAATTCCTGAAAAGATAACAAGTTAATTCCATACTGGAGCAAACAAATGCCATCAATGTATGAGAACCATTGGAAGGATCTCAGAAAGCAAGAGAGCAATAGAGAAATGAACAAGAAGAAACCATAGATCAACTCTACTTCCAAAGAACACTACAAAGATAAGAGTATTGAGACAATTCCACAGTCAGTGTCAATGGGAATGAGCCTTGGGATAACTGTCAAGGTGGTTGATTTGAGTTCAAGACCTGAAGTAGCCTACCTGACCATTTCCACTGCCTGCTCATAGCAGTGAATGCAATTCCACACACTAAAGCAGTATGCATGGTGCTGGGGCCAAAAATAACTGGCAGTGTCTCTGAGACTTAAGACCACCAGGAAAATGTAAATAAGTCAGCCATGAAAGAATAATCTTGAAAGGAAGTAACCTGCTAAAGAGAAAAAGAAGAATGACTTCATAATCTTTTATCCCTATCTCCTAATTTTCTTCAATAAACATTTTCTAAGACTTTACTCCATGCTAGGCATAAGAGATACTAATATAAATAATATTATCTATGCATTTGTACTATTACTACTTGGTAGTACTTATAGCACTTTTTTTACTCTATTCTACAATAAAGTCAAGAACAGCCAATTACATAATTTGGTGTTTTTGAAATACATATATATTTTTCCTAAAAGGATAAAAAACATCTTCAATTTACTCATCTCCTTTTAAGAAAAAAATTCTAAAGCTCATTTTCAGATAATATGGATACTAGACATATCGGTACAAACCCAAAACTGACTACAGGAAACTTACTAAATTAAGGTTTCCTTTCTTTCTGGTTTTAGTGGCCTCATATTTTGATGTCAAACACAGATTTTTTTTTTTTTGATATTTCCTTTGGAAATTACATTCACTGAATATGTGAATTCGAAATTTATTTTGTGAAAACACAGACTAGCCTACAGTTAAAAAACTTGTAGCAGTGTTTTGGAGACACAAAGGATATGCAACTGGAAAAACAAAATCAAAACTGTAAGACAGAAAGACTGACAGAATTGGGAGACCCATAGAAGGCACAAGAGTGGAAAGACAGGAGAATGTCAATGTACCCTATGTAAAATATCTCTGCCCAGATCCCAGCTGCACCTCCCACAGTGCATTCAGGGTTCACCACAGTCACATACATGCCACTAAAAGTCCCTTCTTAATCTCCACTAACTGGCTTACCATCTTGAAAATTCGCTTCTTATGCTGGTAGTAAACCTGTCCATGAAGATGGCCACTTCTTTGCTTGATATACAACAACCGTAGCACACTCCACCCCTAAACTATAAACCTGGCTGAGCAAACATTTACATTTTATATTGCCTCTCACGAAGTTGAAAGGATACACTAATGCTAATCTTTTGGTAGCTACCATTTGTTTTATTGAAGGTTGCAAGGATAACCTAAGTACACCCTTTTTAAAAAATTACTTGTAATTTCCCAAACTGAAAAATATAATTGACTCCAAAAGCTTACAACCTAAAGAAGCTCAATATATATACATCTAATATTCTGGTTAAAGAATCACCTGGGGTCCTAGGAAAAGGTTCCTCTCACCTAATATTTAGTCATTCTGTTTACACCGTGGAAATAGCTTTCTCAAACCTGAAACTTGCCATAAGCATTGCATCTGCTAAGTAACATGTTCAAAGAGGAATAGATGGGAACATATCTAAGATTTTTTTAAAAGGATTTTTCAATAAAGCACTGTAGCATTGTTGTCCTTATTAGAAAAAACAAACACAATATAAATGGAACCTTACTTCACATCATGTTTAAAAATAAATTCCAGATGGAATAAAGAACCAAAAGTGAAGAAAATGGATGTATTAAATAAGAAACAAACAAACAAAAAAAAACGGAAAAAGGAAATCAATAAATATGTGCTAAAATTAAAAACCTCTGCTCAACAAAAAGACAAAAGAATGAGAGTGGAAAGATACAGAGATTCAACTGCATTCATGATGTTTTATTTCTTAAATATTTAAAATATATATGAACAATTATTACAGTGCAAATATAGAAAACTGGGTGGTAAGCACATAGGTGTTCAGTATGTTAGTCACTGATTTTTTTCTCTGTTCTTGATATAATTCTTAACTTTTAAATTGTAATAAATTAAAAGCCTCGCCTTTTTAAAGTTGAGTCAGAAATAAGCTTAGAAGTAAAAAACTTCAGAGCAGTTATCATCTTAAACCTAATCAAGTTTTCCAACATTTATAACAAAAAGTTTCCAAATATTGCACTATTACAAATACTTATTCATTATGTCTAGATCAAATTTTAGTTTGTAAAATTTGGATATCTCGCATAAATAAGTTAAATTGCTAAATACTGAGGAAAAATTACAAAATTTCAAATAACCAAAATAATTTCATTCAATTTGCATTATATTCCCCCAGATCAAACAATAATGTTAAACTTCTGTGCAATTATCAGAGATAGAGATGTACTCTACCCAGTAGCCTCTAATATTATAAAATTTATGGAGTCCTATTGTAAAGAACAATATAGATTAAACCTATAAAAAGAACTCTTTTATTTACGACTTTAAACAACATACCACTAAATCTTGGTCTTGAAGCAAGTTACAAATTGCCTCATATAACATGGGTCTTAAGTCAGACTTGAATTTCACAGAAATCCACTGACCGATGAGCCAAATCACCCTGCGTCGCAATGGCTTATACCTAGATAGGGAAAATCATGAAATTAAAATGTTAAATATTTTAAGAAGTCTATTTCACTTAATATATTTCACTATTTAAATCTAAAATGCAGTAAAAAAGCAATCTACATTTTTATACAAAAGTTTTAAAGCTATTTCTAAATGTGTCACATTATAAATTTTAACAATAAAGTCCTGATCTAAAAACTTAAAAATTCTTAAGCGGACATACTGTAAACTATTATTTTGTATTAAAGAACTATAACCTAAATATGGACATAAAAACAAGTCCATTTCTGTTCTTCAAGTAACCAAAAATGGTTAATTCAAACAGGCATAACTAGCTAACATCCCAAACCCTGAGGATGGAGAGGTCCAAAAATAATAATAAAAGAGCTCCTATATTCGATTTTCCAATTCCAATTCTGTTAGTCTCATAAAGATTATTTTTGGAATATTGTGAAAGCTTTCTAGACTTACAGGAAATAGTCATATAAATTTACACAGATTTTGGCTAAACTCTTACTTTGAAAAGGTGACCAAATACAGAATGTGGTTCAGATCATCAAAAATAATGATTTATATTTGAAAAGCTGTGAAACATTTGCAGTAACATGTACATACATTTTCTATGGTCATCTCTGCTACAGGAAACAGTAGTTCTTTGGGCAATGAGAAAAACCACAAAGCTATAAACAACTGTGTCTAAGAATTCCACCCATTAAGTCTCTTCTTGATAGTATATGAATTTTAGTGGCAAGATGATATTTATTTCTGGGTGTAAATTAAAAAAAAAAAGCTAATAAACATACCATTTTTTTTTTAGAAAATTATAACCTTATAAGATGATCAAGCACATAGAAAGAATTGCTCATCATAATTACAAAATGTGTATGTCTCCTGCCCTCAAAAAGTTTATAATACACCTAAAAGAATTAAAGAATGCAATGCTATATACTAGAATTTCAGAAATGGAAAAGAGAATAGTGGGCAAAGGGAAACGGGATTTGAACAGCCTTTAAAATAAAACAGTATTCTGGACAGAAAATTGAAAACAATGCCATTTCAAGGGATAAGGACTGTTTGAACAAAATCGCAGGGGTGGAAGTAAACAAGGCTTTTGTAGAGTTAATGAAGGAATCACAGAACCAACAATTTTGGACTGAGATCTTTGAGATTTCCACATTCAACATTCTATTCCAGACAAAAAGAATGAAACTCAGAAAGGTGAAATTCCAAGACCACAGTCACTTCTGGGCAGAGTTAAAATTAGGAGTTAAATTGCTCCTCAAAGTGTGTGGTCCCTGAACCTGCAGCATCATTTTCCTGGAAGCATGATAGAATCACACAATCTGACCAGACCCCAACCTATAAGCTAAACCAGAACCTGCATTTCAACAACTGGGTGACTCATATACAAATTAAACTTTGAGAAATACTGATCTAGATCAGCTCTGTCCAAAAGAAATATAATAAAAGCCAATATGCAAGTCTAAATTTTTTAGTAACCACACTAAAACAAGTAAAAAGAAACAGGTGAAATTTTAATAGTATTTTTATTTATCTCAATATTTCCAAAATATTATCATTCCAACATGTAATCAACACATATTTTACACTGCTTTAATTTTTAAATTTAAGTTTTAGTAAATTAAAATTAATTTCCTCAGTTGCACTAAGTACATTTCAAGTGCTCAATGATCATATGTACTAGCTACTTCCCGGGACAGCACAGGCGTAGACTAAATAGTCTCTTGGATGTAAGGGCAATCAAACTGTACATCTGTCTCGCTACTGAAGGCTTTCTCTCCATCAATGGCTCACTAGCTTCCTGAGGGCAGAGTGGCAGACCATCTTATTCACCACTGGCTCTACGGGACAAGGCAAATTCTAAATGTTGAAATATTTGTTGACTGAATTAATGATTGAAGAACTAAATGAATAAATAGCTACTTACTCATCAAAATTACTTTTAAAGTACCTCTAGCTCTACGATTCTATGGTTCTCAAGATTTATAAAATGATCCATATATGGATGGCCCTCCATTCATTAATGTAGTCAAGAAATACTAACTGATCTATGACTGACTATATGCTAGGCATTCTGATAGGCACATCTACAGAAATAAATCAATAGAACTGCAAAACAAGAAGTCTCGGAATTTTTTTTGTCTCGAATTTTAAACCAAGGAAAAATTTATAAAAACTTTAAAAGACCTTTCCCTTCCATTTTACTCATTAAGTACCCAAAATTAAAATATCACACAAATATTTAAATGTACATAAAATATAAGAATGGGCAAAAGTCCTAATAAATGGCAGATAGAGCCGTGCTACTGAATTAAGTACCTCAACATGAGCCTAAAGTGTGTTCAAATGCTTCTTGCCATGGTGTATCTATAACTTACTCTACTCTCTCCCAAAAGACTTTCAGTATGCTTTGTGTTATCCCATTCTTTTCAGGATGGTAATTGGGTTAGGCTACTTTTGACGTCAGGCCTACTTCCTGCTAAGTCTCCAAATGGCTCCCTTTTAAACACATTTTCTTTCTACAATTCAGAGACTTCCATCTTCCCTAACCTTTGCATAAAATTTCACCTTTTCCTATACAAACTATCGTATCTAATATCGAACACTTCAAACATATTATAATTCACATTTGAACTAAAATAACACAACAAACTTTTGTATGGTTTTCTGTTACATAAGATTTAGATGTCTTATTCCTTCCTATACTAGACACTATCAGCTAAGCCATACTGAGTCTTTTTATCATTTTAAACAATTTTAATGGCTTATTTTCATTAGAATATCACTATGATAAAATTAAGTGTATAATAAACACAAAGTTTTATACTTGCCTATTGTGAATGACTTGTAATTCTGGAAGAAGTTGGTTTTTAAACCACTGATCAAAATCAACACTGTCAAACAGCTCATAAGCTGCTAATCCAACAGCATTATACACTAAAAAGAAGATATGAGAAAAAAAATTAATTTCAGATACTGGGCCAAATACTAAGTGTCTTATATAAGAAACTAAGCCTTAAGGACTACTTTGAAATATGTAATGTGTTAATAAAATGAAATCTAAATTGTTTCAATCACTGAAATTTTTTAAATAGACATTTTAGAAACATTATTTAAAGTTACTTTATGTTTTTCCTGAATATCCCTTTAGTGCTTTCGAACAGGTTATAATTATTTTAAAATATTCAAGTCAAATTATAAAAATTATAAAATAGCATCTGCTTCCAAATAGATGCAATATATAATGATCTGTTCCCTACTTACCCTCTCTCCAGCCTCATCTCTCACCAAACCCCTTAACTCCTATGTTTCAATTAAACCAAAATATTCCCAGTTCAAAAAATAACTGTGCTTGCTCCTTTTCCCTTCAAGTGTTTGTACAACTCCTGCTTCTGCTTGGAACCCTCTTTCTGCACCACTCCCTCCTCTGGCTAACTCCCACTCACCCTTGTGTTCTCATATTATACTTCTTCAGGAGCCTTTCCCAAGGTACGCCAAAACTATCTTGTGGTTTTCCACAGTACTAACTGATTACCACCTACTTTAGCATTAATCAATTGGTACTATGTCATAATCAACTATCTGCTCATATGGTTATCTCCTCTACCAGACAGTTCCTGTACTTTAAGTATCCTTGTATCCTAACTCCACCAGCATAACTCCCGCTACAAAACAGACACACCATCTATCAAAGAAATAAATGTTTCTAATCACTTTAGTTTAACATACCAGCATCTTTGATTAATAGTGCATTCATATCTTCCACATTAGTGGGCCCTGAAAAAATAAGTATCAGTAAAAGTAAATAAAATTAGTTATTAATAAATATTTTATTTAAACTCAATTTGTTAGTTTCTTGATTCAATTAGGCACAATACATTTTATGATACTAAATATATGTATAGGTGTAAAGGGAAAGTCTAAGTTTTATTATCATCACTGTTAGAGAACACAGGTACAATAAGTAAAACTATATTATAACTTTAAAAACCATTCTAGCATCTTTGAAAAATGTAATATTAAGCAACAGTCTAGAAAAAGGCATGCCCCAAATTGCTACTATATTATGCTGTTTGTTAAAAAAAAAAAAAAAAATCTTTAAAAGAAAAGAATAAAAATATGAATTTCATAACAGAAAATAAAAGAACAAGAACAGGCAATTCATACAAGATGCTCTAAATACAAAAAATAAACCAGGTTATAATAGTACTTTAAAAAGTGACAACAAAATTAAAAGTGCAAACAGAAAAGTGATCGCCATTATGTAATGTGGACATTTTAGAATAAAAAGGTGGTAGTCTCTGCACTATTATCCAGAAAGGAGAATACCATGGTTAAGACATGAAAAACAGTTTATTGCTATTTCTTTAGAATAAAAAGATTTCTAGAGAGTGTATCAAAGCACTTTTCTGTTAAATATGAATTTTTAAACTCACTAGTCTAATAAGCTAGAATAAGTACAGCTCTAAATAAGCAAATTGCTCCAGAACTAGACATAAAACCTGAACTCCAATCACTAAAAACGTTACCAGCATACAGTAACTTATCAGAGTGTAACTTACATAGCTTATCCACTTTCCTACAGCAGCTTAAAAAAAAAAAATGGATGGGAGAAAACGAATAATGTTCTAACTTCACCAAAAATGTAACTTAAGCAGCATAAATATTATCAAATTTAAGAATCTATAATCCCATATCAAGAAATTAATAAATTATACATTCAGAAATCAAATGTATTTTCATTCCCATAAGAAAATATGATTAATACTCAATTATTTTTTAAAATTACCACAGTAGAACTTGACTGAGAGCTCATTTTTCCCCCTTGGTTTATAATTTAAGCAGGAACACTCTACTAGGTTTTTGAGAGAAGGAAAGCCTAAAAAGTGAGCTACCCTCTAACTACTACAAATGAGATCAGCAATCTCCCTCCCTACAAATTCTCTTCGTGTTGTTTCCTTACATCACCACCTACTCAATCCCTGATCCCTTACAATGTGATTCCTACCCAACCAATCAAGTAATTTTTTGTCTAAGATTCTACTGCCTTCTTTCCTCTTACAGCACTGGACATTTCTGACAACATGCTCTTCTCCAGAATTCATATCCATACTTCTCTTCATATCTGAGAGAGCTTCTTACCTTTTTTTTTTTTTTGCAGGGTCTTTACCTCCTCATATCCCTAAAGGTGAAAGTCTCAGATTCTGTCCTTGAACTTCTTTTCTTCTTCCAAGGCTCCTCATACACACACCCCAAAAGTAAAGCTCTATCTACAACAACTATTAATAACTGCTTTCCCTGTTATTAAGACTCTGAAGTTCAAGATCATCTCTGATCACTTTCCCCTGGCCAGCACAAGTCAATTAGTTGCCAAAAGTCAATTAATCAACAAAAAGTTACTGAGTGTGCCAGGCACTGGGAATAATGTGTGAACAAAACAAATATGATCACTGCCCCCTCCATGGAATTTACAGTATAGTAGAAAAGTCAGTAATGACAAATTGTTAACAGTTAAATAATTAAAATTCCTTGTGTGTACAAAGTACAATGATCAAGTGCTAAAAATTTCACTTTATCATTCTCTCTTAAATCCGATATCTTCTCTCCATGCCCATAGCCACTGTTCTGAGGCTAACATTTATTATTTTATCCTTTTCTCCCACTACTTCTCACAACATGCTCCAGATGGACTATTTCCCCAAGCAATATACTTGACTGCCTATTTTCCTGATGCGGCTATTAAATTTACAATAGCTAAATCTATCACATTAAAGGCCAAAAAGGCCTTCTTTCATAAATTGCTCATTCTTGTTCTCTATCCTGAAGGCTATGACTGCAGAAAAGAACACATTCAGTCTTTCTCAAATTCATATACTTATATGATCTAGGAAACAGGGCAATGCACATATTAGGAGTTCAAATTATTTTAACTGAATATTAATTAACAGATAAATTAAAATATTGCAAAATATATCTCACCTTGAAGTGTTTGCATCATTTCTAGAAGTACGGGAGTAAGAGTCTGATTATATTCATGGAATATATCTATAAATAGTACTTCAGTGCAAGGCTAGAAGGGAAAAAAATTTCTAATGAAAATTACATTAATTCTATAATAAAGCAAATACTTATTCTTAAAATCCTAGAACTCTAAAAATGTTTCCAAGTCTTAATGTTTTCTTTTCAAAAAGTAGATTACTATTTTTTGTAAACACAATGGGAAACAAAATCAAATTATAATAATTTAATGCATAATATGCAGAAAGTTTATTTCATTGTTTAAATCATTTGGCACTAAAAAATGCTTAGTTTTTTGAGGACCCTCCATACTGTTTTCCATAGTGGCTGTACCAATTTGCAGTCCCACCAGCAGTGTATGAGGGTTCCTTTGGCTCCACATCCTCTCCAGCATTTGTTATTACATGTCCTGTTGATTACAGCCATTCTAACAGGTGTGAGATGGTATCTCATTGTGGTTTTGATTTGCATTTCTCT